AAAGCATGAAGGCTATCGTTTTGACTACCCACTAAGATGGTTTAAGAGACCCATCCGTCACAAAAGCTATTGGCTTTCGTAGAATGAAGTTCATTTCAGAAGCCATACATGGTTTCCCATTTACGGTCGCTTTTGAATCGATACTATAACAAAGAAAAACATACGTATGAGAAATTTGAACAGGGAAAACTTTTACAAGTTAGTTTGCTTGTAAACTTAGAAACAACTCTTCAAGCTTTTCAAGAAAAAATAAACGATATCTATCTCGAATATGCAAAAACAGTACAACATTGACGAAGGAGAGTACCATCTCGAATTATATATGACAGGAAAAATGCAACTGTTAAAAATCAATAGAATAGAAGACCTTGGAGAAGACGTTTATATTTCTACAAAATATAACAACTTGGCATGTATAGATTTTTGAGGATGTTAAATCAGCCTGCAGCATATCCAGTACACCCGAACTTTTATGAAGTCGAAAACCCTAATGGAACATATGAAAATGTTTTCGACTCAGATGCTATTATAGTTCATGCTTCATTTTCTGGTGCACAAAACTCTTTTTTATGCTTGGCAAATGACTTTACGAAAAACCTACAAAGCTATATGAACCACCGAGTGGAAGTATTTTCAGACTTTCAAGTATGGTTTAACTACAGATGGAAGAAAGAGAATAATTCCATTATACCACGCGTTTTACTTAGAAACTTAGTTTCATATACAACTACTATCGAACGGTAAAAATATGATTTTTTTAATACGGTTGAGGGGTTGGATTTGGTTGCCAACTAGACTGTGGTGCAGGTTCAGGCTGTTGTATAACAGGAGCTTGCTCTTCTGGTTCAGGTCTTTAGGTATAATACCAACAAACTGACCTACTCTTTATATTTTTACACCGTTCCAAATTCCTTTCCTACGGTTTTTATTCCATTCCATATACCTCTTCCAACTCTTCTGAAGAAGTTTCCAATACTACTGAAGAAACCCATTTTACTATATGTAAAAATCTAATGTCCACCTAGTCTCTTACGTTTCCTTCTGAGTTCCATAGCATTCTTTAACTGGAGCTCATACATTCTATTTCTCCTCTGGTAGAAAACATACTCTGGGTCAACTCCTGTGTTCGCGTCATCTGCATAGAGTTGTTTATATCCCACTTCAGGGTTTGTATAAAACTCTTTCCATCTCATATTTGCATACCATGGTGGTAAGCCTAACGCAGCGTCATTTGACATGGCAGTTTGCATTTGTACATCTGTTGGCACTTGACCATAGTTTGCCATTGCAGTTTGTATTCTAACTTCATTTGGAATATTCTCTGGGTTTGGTTGTCCAGGTTGCTGTGCATTCGCTAAGTTCTGTGCGTCCATTTAATATTAGATAAAAATATCTCTTACGAGTACATATACTGGACATTTGCAGGCATTGGTTCATCTTCATATTCTCTATATCTTTCTGCCACGTCAAATAAGTAAATGACACAATGGAAAAAACCTAAAACAAGTAGTCCTATTTCAAACCACATTTACTTACCAATAAAATTTCTTTGTTGTGACACTTTCTCCAGTTTATAGGACCTCTCTCATATTCTATCTTATCGTATCTAAACTCATAGTCATGTATGTCCTCTAACCATCTCATGACACTTTCCAAACCACTTTTATCGGATGTAAAGTAAAAGCATGGATGGTTATGTAAAACGTCTAAAGTTTCTAAAGAGTCTCTCAAAGTCCAGTCTACTTGGTATTGAAAATCCCATGTGTTATAGAACGGCGGGTCCACTATAAAGAAAACATTTTCCTTGTCTTTATATTTTCATACAACTCTGTCCAATGACATCTCACAAACTCTATACCCTCAATATATTTTTCTATGTCCTCTTTGAAAACATTTGTATAGTTAAGATATAAAACTTTTGACATAAGTGTTTCAATGTCATGAACTCTTATAGCACCACTATATAATAGTCTAGCAGATATACTATCCCAGTCTATATATTCTGCTTTTTTCAAAACCTCTCTGACAGTATTTTTCTTATCTAATGGTATACGTTCCATCTTACCTATAGGTATCTTTTCTTTCAACTCACTCAATATTTTATTTGTGTCTGGTATATGTTTGAGACGGTTCATATAGTTGTCGAAGTCATTGCATATAATCTTTGAGTCAGGAAATACAGTATGGCACAAATGGGATATATAGAAACTTCCACCGAACAAATCTACAAATGTTAGACCATTCGGTAGTTTCTTAAGTTCTCTCAATAGAATATCTTTACATCTACTCTTATTTCCAAAGAAGGGTAACGGTGGTTTTGTGAAATTCATTTTATATTTAATAAAAATGTTTTTTTCCTGAAAAGTGACAGAAAAGTGACGGGGGGCTAGAGGGCACGAAGTGCCTGGAAGCCCCACTACCTTTTTTTTTTTTTTTTTTTTTTTTTTTTTTTTTTTTATATCACATAAACTCATATTATTTTCTAATATATAACTATTTTATATAAAAATCAAATTCAATGATCTTAAAAGCGAATGATAAACCTCAAAATTTACGAATATAATGAGTGGGAATATAATGCTTATCTATCATAAAACCATATGAAATATCAATTTTTGCTTTACGCCTAATTTTTGACGACAATTAGCAAAAAATGTTAAATGTTAACACTCAGTCCATTTGAATATGAAAAATAAAATTGACTTTGATTAAATGTTTTTATTTATCATGCAATTCTTCTTGCGACCAAAGATTTGAATAAAACTTCAAAAAATAAGATAGCTTAAAAAATAATATACGGTAGTGTTTACTAATAGATGAATAGTATATAAATTCTATTAAAATGGATTTGATCCAAAAAAATATAAAACCAAAAATAATTGTTATAATTTAAATGAAGAAGTAATTTAAAACGATTTTATTTATGATCAAATTTTATATATTTTTTTGGATCAAATCCATTTTAATAGAATTTATATACTATTCATCTATTAGTAAACACTACCGTATATTATTTTTTAAGCTATCTTATTTTTTGAACTTTTATTCAAATCTTTGGTCGCAAGAAGAATTGCATGATAAATAAAAACATTTATTCAAAGTCAATTTTATTTTTCATATTCAAATGGACTGAGTGTTAACATTTAACATTTTTTGCTAATTGTCGTCAAAAATTAGGCGTAAAGCAAAAATTGATATTTCATATGGTTTTATGATAGATAAGCATTATATTCCCACTCATTATATTCGTAAATTTTGAGGTTTATCATTCGCTTTTAAGATCATTGAATTTGATTTTTATATAAAATAGTTATATATTAGAAAATAATATGAGTTTATGTGATATTATTTTTCAGAAGATTTTGTGTTCTTCTTCAAAATTCTATTTTTTATTAAAAAGAATCTTTACAAAATATACATTTACTTTAATTAATATTTAAAAACGTGCTCTATCAAAAGTTCCAAAAATTCAATAGTTTAGCTTTTCTGAGGTGTCACTTTTGATGAATTTCTGTTTACAACAGCCTAAGTATTTCTTAATAGAATGTGAAATAAAGTAAAATTAACTATATTCAAAATGGAAAAAAATCTAAAAAAATTTTGAAAAAAAGAATTTCATGATAAAAAGCATAAATTTTGCATCAGAAAATTAAATTCAGGTATTTTTTTTGAAATAGAAAGAGTCCTAAAATTAGTTAAAAATCATTTTTTATTCAAAAGAAACGCTATTTTTAAGGAATTGAAAAGAATTTTATTTAATAATATTTTATTTATAGAATTTGCATATATCATATGCATAGACATATTGAATTGTAAACATGAGAACACTAATTATATTAACTTGTCGTTCAAATTATTGCATCGAGAAAAAAGTGCTATAAATTTACTCAATTAGTTTACAAACGTAAATATTTGGCATAAACTTTACGTTTGTAAACTAATTTGGTAAACTCGTAGTTCAAATTATTGCATCGAGAAAAAAAGTGCTATAAATTTACTCAATTAGTTTACAAACGTAAATATTTGGCATAAACTTTACGTTTGTAAACCAATTTGATTAAATTTAGTAAATTTTAGTTCGAATGCAAGTTTTCTCGGTAAATCATTTTTTAGACCTCAAATGAGATGTATGATCATATGAGTCACATATGATTTAATCCGAATATGTGTGAGAATTGAGTTTAAAACGAAGTTTATTTTTTGGACTATATTTCGCCATTTTAAAATGTGTAATAATGATATAATTCGCATGAAATTGAAAAATATTGACTGGATGTGTAATGGTTTTATAATTGCAATGTTGATTTGATCGAATTTAAATGAATATATAACGCGATGAAATTTCGAATTGCTCAAATGTCTGTAATTCATATATGGTGCACATATTAATATTACATTTCGTTGATATTTACCACATAAACCTTTAAATATTAAGTCATTTTAAAGTTATATGCGATTTAGTTCCAAAATGCACGTTTAGAAAAAGACGATAACGATTAAATTACAAAATTGATAACGATAACGATTAAATTACAAAATCGATAACGACCCCAAATCGTAAGCGAACAAAAATAATTTTTGATATTTAAGAGTTTCTAAATATCTAGGAGAAGAGTGTAATATACTTAAAAGGTATTTTAAGATAATAGCCTTATCGTTAATTTTTTGAGAAGAAATGAAAGGCATTTTACACATAATGGATTTGATCAATGGATTATTATTGATGTATATAGTATGCGATAATTCAATGTCTGTAAGAGTGAAAGATACAACAAGAAAATTGAAAGAAATTAACGATCGAGGTATATTAATGTATATAAGATATAAATTAAAATTTCCATAATGTTGAATAAAAATTGGTTTTACACAATTGATGATAACTCATTCAATTATCGGTCTTTTTATTTTGCATTTTATTGACATTTATTGAGCATCTTTACAATCACGAAGCACGGTAAAGATGATCTTAAACTGGCACTTTTTCATCTCATTTTATCGAAATGGCAAACAAGCTCATCGATCCAAGTGTTTCTCCGCATATCAAGGATGTCACTAAGGTTCAATTACCAGAAACAATGGTTAAGGTAGGTCTTTTTGTTGTTAATGACTATAATGGCACTAAATATGACCTCGGCCTTGGCCCTGATAACGATGGTTATCTTATGTCAAAGCTCTTTGCCTCCCATGGCTTTGAATGCTACTATCTTCGTAACGCTAAAAAGGAACAATTCCTTCATTACTTAGATTACTTCTTCAAAAATACAACAAAGCACTTAGCTCTCTTCTATGTTGGACACGGAACAAACGTCAAAGATCTTGATGGTGATGAGGATGATGGCTTTGATGAGGCTTTATTCTTTGTCAATGGAGTTGTTGTTGATGATGTTTTAATTGATCACTTGATCAAGCATAAGAACCCAGAATCAGTCTTAACACTTATCACAGATGCCTGTCACTCTGGTACAATCTGGGATATTCAGTCTGGTAACTGTAATGGCCGTGAATTGCCAGCAAAAATCATGTCCATTTCAGCTGCAGCTGATAAGCAAACAGCTAAACAAACAGTTGTTGAAAGAGTTGAGCAAGGTATGTTCTCCTACAACTTCGAAAAACTTATTAAACAAGATGCAAACCTAAAGCCACGTGACTTGAAGAGAGGAATAAAGACTGCTCTTCAAAAGTATGGCCAGACATGTGCTATTGCTACAACGTCTGCTGAACTCCTTGATATTCCAATCATGCAGCCATAAATCAAAGCAAATAATGCTATTATTGAACAAAATGTACTAATAAAAAGTGTTAAAGATTCATTTATTTACATTATTCATTATCCCCAATGATAAGTTTTATCTTTTGTTTATATATTATGAAAAATGGTAGCGATAGTAGATGTGAGATATTCGTAAAGGTAATATTTTAATATAGTATCAATATTTTTGATGGTTTTCTGTGTATAAAATAAAATTGAATAATATTTATTGAAAAAATGATGCTCAATAACATTTGATTTTAAGTTTATTGTTTGATTTATTAATAACCTTGCATTCCATTTTTGAATATGCTAAGTATTTTTGAAATTGCATAAATCTGTATAAAAGAAACGTTAATATATCTTGATTGAGGAAGCAAGATCATATCTTATTGGTTGACAACTTAAAAATGATTGATAACGTATAATTATATATGATTTGAATGAAAATAAATAAATTATATGTTAAATTCTAATGGAAGCTGAATTTTCGGGCCTATCATTTGATGAATCATCTTTAGTAGAAAATAGGTGCTATATTTATTTCATTCTATATATCAATGACCTCCATCTGCGTATTTTCCGGTTATAAAATTTTGTCAAAATATTTTCAAAAAATTGTGAACATTATTGAAGTTTTTCAATTAAATTATCGATTTTTGAAATATAATGGTTTAGGAATCTGATTGCATAGTGTGAGGAGAATGCATTTTATTATTTTATTGGACGGACTTTCAATAAGTCCTCTGAAACGTTTGATTTTTTTCTGAAACCAGATTTCAATTCAATTTAATTCAAGTGTCAAATTAAAATTATTTCATAAAATGGAGACAAAAGCAATGTGCTCTGAAAACCAAAAGGGAGGAGTTGTCCATCGTAGGCGTTTCACACCAGAAGAAGATGAACTTCTAAAGAAGCTTGCCAAAGACATAACAAATAAAACATGGCGCGATATTGCAAAGCATCTACCTGGGAGAACAGCTACGCAATGTCGCGATAGATATAACCAATATCTATTTCAACAAGTTGTTTCAAAGCCATGGACCAGTGAAGAAGATAGAATAATTGTTGAAAAATATAAACAGTTTGGATCCCACTGGGCAAAGATTGCTGAATATCTTCCAGGTCGCAGTGGAAGTAACATCAAAAACAGGTGGAATGGTGCACTTGGCCGTTTTCACGGAATCCCTCATAAGACATCAAAGATAGAGCGTAGACAGCCAAGAAGTATACTTAATGCTCTAAATCAGCAAGAAGATTCTTCATCAGATTTCGAAGCCCCTAAACTAGAGGACGTCAATGTCATTTTTGATCAAATTGCTGAATCTATATTACAACAAGGAGAGGAAACATTTGAAATATTTGATAGTTTTGAAGAAGTCTTAATGTAAATTTGTTTGTAAACAAAGGTGACCAAACTATTTTTTGAAAGTCCGCCATAACTTTAATGGTACTATTTCAGCGTGTACAATGAATACAAAAATTCTAAGAGTGCCACATAAAATAGTACTTTAGACTTGAGTTAATGCTACCAAGCAAATGTTAAAAAGATGACTTTAGTGTTTTGATAATCAAAGATTAAAATCATTATTGTCTAAATCAATAATCATAACGACAGAAGTTAATGTTTTTTCATAAGTGCTTTAAATCCACTTTTAAAAGTATACCTCAAAAATCAAAATATCAAAAAAAAAATTGGCCGATAGGTTTGGCTTTAATTTTTGTCTGCTTTTATGATTTGATATGGATGTTATAATTTTAAAAGTTGAGCCAAATTCACCAATAGATTTTTGAGATTTGCAAATACTCAATAATTTTCAGCGTGTTATCTTTTATTAAAAGAACTATTTGGTTTCAGTATCATATAAATTGATATTTACTTTCTATTTGAACCTTCATTTAGCTAATGATTTAGTAATACAGATTTCATCTAATCCTTATAAGAGAATTTTGAATTTGTTATAATAAAAAACAAACAGATATAGCTTACACTTCTATAATAAAGATACTTTTTATAGAAATCAGTATGAAATGTGTTTTTTGACACGTAAAGCTCTCAATTCATTATAACATGTTTGTCGATTTTTATATATTTTTCGCTTTCATTATCTATGATATTAAAAATTATGTCATCAGAATGTGAAATAATTAAACAAATGCCCTGCGGGAAGTATTTTATACTAGAATTTATAAAAAAAATCACTGTACGTTTAGCCTACTGGTTATGTCGTGGGGTTCAAAGGTAATATGTTCAAATCAGTAAGCACCCGGTTTTTTTATTTTTTTTAACAAGGTGAATATAACTTTTGATCGAAATCAATGAGTTACATGAATTATCATTTATCTAACTACAATTAAATTGTGAAAATATACTATCCAATATTAGCGTTTAATAAAATCAAAGATTATTGACTTATATTTTGAAAGTAATCTAAGCAGAATTTAGATATCCAAATTCTAAATATCTTCATGATTAGATGCTAGATAATATATTCTTATTTGAAAAATTTATAATGTTATTATTTTCTTATTTGATATTTACTACAAGCAGAAAAGCATTTATATTGTAAATTAACAGATTATGATAATTATACTCGTTTTTATATGTTCTTAATGAAGAATATCAAACGTATTTCTATGAGTTTTAAAAAATGAAAAGTTTTAATATGGCTAATATATTTATTATCATTAATAGAATAAAAAAGTTTTTTTCGCATATCACTCGATGATTTACCTTCGAGTTTTGATAAATTTCGAAAAAATTTAAGGAATGCTCTTTGAATTTCTTTACCTATAAGCATATTATCTGCCGTATTATTTTTCGCTAATTGTAGAATTTTATTTAATTTTAATAATTAACCTTCTAAGCTTATTGAGAGATCACATTGTATATTTGATACGTAGTACATATGCTAAATCTGTGAATTAGATTGTAAGATATTGAACAAACGTTCTTAAACATTTTAGATTTTAGGGAATTACTGAATTAAACTATATTTCTTATATGATATCTTCATGTTTGGATGCTTTGGGTATAATTTATTGGGCTTTTTCTATCCAAATGTTTGGCAATGGTAACCCAATTTCTAACAAATTTATGATGGAAAAATTTATGACTTTTATGGAGCCGAAAAAAAAGCATATGAATAAGACTATTAAAGATAAGCTGTAATTTGATTGTGAATTTTAAAAAAGAATTTGGATTAAAATTTGAAATTCTTTTTTTTTGAAAATTAGCCGATGATATGCTTAAGCTAAAAATTACTAGAAGCGGTGTGATATAATTTATATAAAAAAACTCATAATTGCCATTATTATTGGTACATATAAAGTCAAATTATAATTTGCAGTTATGCTTTAATCAAAATCTATATTGAAACGCTTTGTCACATCCATTAAAAAGGCTGTCGCATATAAATCCAAACATTTGCTTGGTATGTACTTTTCCATTTTAACGTCCTGATTGATATAAGCATGTTTTACACTTTAAAATAGTAATTATGACAACCTGTACACCATAGAAGTAGGCTATAACAAGAAAAATTAGATTGACATCGAATAATTTCAAGATTTAGAAACAATTTGTAGCTTTCTCAATTATCTAGAGTTAAAATTCATTTATAATGAGGTCATATATTTTAATTATCTTGTAATCAATGTTCGAACATTACCATTAAAGGAATTTTTACTTTAATTAAATTTAAAAAATATAATTTGTGACTAAAAATAACAAACAAGTTTAATACAAACAAAATAGTATACAAATATACAAAAGAACTATCATTTAACGAATATTTCAATCTGAGATTTGAAATTTATGATAGTTATAATAAAGGAGCTCTATTTTGAGAGCTATGCAGCGAAGTAGAGTGTGGTTACATGACTATAATTCACTTTGTTTTCAATTGTCATTGTGCGAAGTGTACTCCTTAAGATTTGTGAAAAATTGCCTTTATTTATGAGATCAACAATGTGTTTTGGATGACGTTTCGCATTTAGAATAGCAAACTCTAGATTCTCATATGTGATCCCGTTATGAAATCTACTTAATGTATTATGAATGTATGTTTCAAAATCGCTGAATTTGTTTGCCTTCTTGGCAAAATTTGATGGTAAAATGACATTTTCTGGGAATAATTGAGCAATATGGCTTTCTTCATATAATGGATCATTTTCAAGAGGATCAGATTTGTCATTATGAGGATCTAAATCGTTTAATCCTTTCTTGCGTGATTTTTTTTGGTTGGGTTGTCAAAAACATCTTTTTTGACAGATAAACGTGAAAAAATACTATAACCTGAAATTGGATTTGATATATGTGTTGACATTAAAATTTTTGAGTGAAATTGATTAATTTCATTCACCCAACTAAGCAATACATCAACGCTGGAATTACTATTATATCTAAATCCACATTTGGATAACAAGGCATATGCATATTCTTTGCACATTTCATATTGACGTGAATCTTGACGCATTGTGTAAATGTCTTCAAATGTAATACCAGCTTGATAGTCACGTGAATGGGTTTTCCAGTCAATATCGTATTTTTTATGAATTTTGAGTGTTAAATTACATTCTGCAATAGATGTTTCGGTTGTTGACAAATCATACTTAAAATGAGCCATGACGCGAAGTAAACCATTCAAATGTTCTTCCGTCATGGTTGTCAAATGAGAAAAATTGAAAAATGTTGAATTAATACTGAAAAAATATTGGAAACAAATGATTGTTGCTGTAAGATGCTTTACAACTTCCCAAGTTCCCATATAATAGACCGGATAAATGTTTCCGTCTATTTTGACAACACCAAGATTTGTCTTAATGTGACGGTCTCTCATTTGAATGCAATGATGTACCAAGAGCAGATATGCAAACCACATCATTTGACATCTTGTGTCAGCATTAAATGCCTCATTTCGTATGCTTTCATACCAGAATGCAAGTGGAGCTATGAATAATGCTTCATTATAATAGTTTTTTTCTAGAAGCGCCTTTACAGCTCTAATTGAAAATATTGTGATCGGATATTTATCTTTTATCCTTCCCAGAGGTGAAGTATCATTAAGAGCATCACCTAATTCGATTGCATCTCTGATCTTGTTAACATCAACAATTGTATTCAGATCAGATGGATGAACTAAAAGCTTAAGTGTTGCATCGAGTAATCTGGTACGTTCAAGTTTTGACATATGTATGAGATCATTAATCCATACAACTTGATCTCCTTTCTTTAAGATAGCAGTAGCTCTTTTAAATATTTCTTCGGGATCATTACCTTGCAAAATTTCATTAATAAATTCATCTTGATGCTTATCATATCCGGGATCTCCATCAGTAATGATGACTCTAACTCTTAAGTGCTTTCGTATTTCTTCGATTGCTGCATCAATTTCGTGGATAATTCCACTTGCAAACCCATTGGCATGTTCTATAACATGTAATATAACATTTGGCGCATCAAAATTTAGGGCATACCAAGAAATATGAATAAGTATTTGATTTCTTCTCCATTTTCATCAACAGGACCTTTTTGGTCTTTAGAGGACCAGGTAGAGAGTGCAACTGCATCTATTGCTATTGCCCATTCATATTCAGGTGTATTTTCTACGTGATAGTTCATGCTTTCTAACATTCGCGGAATGAGCTCAGCATGTTTAACAAACTGTTTCATATTCATTATGTCTTCATGAAACCTATTGTACAATGTTACAGGCGTAGGAAAAGGTAAACAAAATTCCAAGAGAACATCATATGCTGCTGGTGATTTGCTATGTATTAAGAATGCCAAATCTACCAATTCACTTTCACCTCCATATCTATAACCTCTTTTATCTTTTCTACAAATGTTTTCCATAATAGTATGTATAATATTTCTTGTAAATTCAGGAACATGTTCCGGAAATTCTGTATTCCAGTAAGTTCTGTCTTGGTGATCATCGTTGTCTTCTTCTATTTCCTTTGTTTTTCTTCCAATATTCTTATTCAACAGACTTCTGCGCATTTCAGCCTTTATTGCGTCTAAGTCTTCTAGGTAGGCTTTATACATATGCATTTTTCCGGTTCCTGTATACGGGAATACCTGAACATCAGTTTCAAATGATCTTTTGTAAATTTGTTTTCGAATATCTTGATTAAATTTAACTAAAAACGTTTCTCGGTCTCCTTTTATTTCAATTTCAAGTTCTTCAATCTTCTTTTTAAGTTCGTTGATGTCTGAGAGAGGAATATAGAATCCAACATTCATTAACTTTTTGAGAGAATGTCAGACCAATCTGAATAAAATAAACTTAATATTTTCTATAATTTCATACTAGAATAGAATTGGTAATGATATTTAATATCTTTTTGCTTCACTTGTAGAAATTATTTTGAAATTAATTTTTTGTAATCGACAAGATACAATTTTGTTATGACCAAATGTTGTCACTACTAATTTAAATTCCATTTACAACAGCTACTTTATAAACATCCATCCAAAATTGAAGATTCCGAAAATTTCAAAATGGAAATATGCAATATGAATGATGAAATCATATCCAATAGTTATGAAATTCAGAGTAGGGGTAATTTTAGCTAAAAGTGACATGCCTGTAAAAACTGACACACCCGTGAAGGGTGTGATTACCGATCGGTAATTTCGACAGTTTAGAATTTAAAATTTTTTATGGAACTGTTGCGAGTTTCATAAAGAATTTAAGGAATATAAGCAAAGATTTGAATCAAAATCTTAGACCTAAGCCGCTCGATTCGCTCGCGGCTTCCGCGAATTACAGATCAGCAAAGATTTGAATCAAAATCTTCGAACTAAGCCGATCGCTTCGCTCGCGGCTTTCTTTATTATTTTAAATTTGCATATTTCCATCAAAAGTTCATAAGGGAAAAAATTTTGTTTATTTTTACTAAGAAAAAAAAAGGTTTTTGATAATAAATTTATTTTATTTCGAAAAAGTAGCAATAATCGTAAAAGGTATTGATAGGCTTGCTAAAGTAACTAATTTTAGCTGTCAAATACTTTTGTATTTTGAAGTAAATTAGTATAAATTTGTTTTTACTTTTATTTCGAAAAAGTAGCAATAATCGTAAAAGGGTATTGATAGGCTTGCTAAAGTAACTAATTTTAGCTGTCAAATACTTTTGTATTTTGAAGTAAATTAGTATAAATTTGTTTTTACTTTTATTTCGAAAAAGTAGCAATAATCGTAAAAGGGTATTGATAGGCTTGCTAAAGTAACTAATTTTAGCTGTCAAATACTTTTGTATTTTGAAGTAAATTAGTATAAATTTGTTTTTACTTTTATTTCGAAAAAGTAGCAATAATCGTAAAAGGGTATTGATAGGCTTGCTAAAGTAACTAATTTTAGCTGTCAAATACTTTTGTATTTTGAAGTAAATTAGTATAAATTTGTTTTTACTTTTATTTCGAAAAAGTAGCAATAATCGTAAAAGGGTATTGATAGGCTTGCTAAAGTAACTAATTTTAGCTGTCAAATACTTTTGTATTTTGAAGTAAATTAGTATAAATTTGATATTATTTTAACTCCCTTTGAAAACTTCAATTTTCCATACAGAGGGAACGGGAATAGCATCCAATATTCCCTGAGAATGGTTGCGCATTCTCAGTTCCCTCTATATTTCGAACGAAGCTCTCATCGGTCTTTTTTTTTAATACTAAACGTTTTTTTCCCTGTCACTTTTAGCTAAAATTTGGGTTTGCCTAATTGTAAAATTGCAAAACCACATCAGCATCAATTATTGGCATAAATATATATTCTTTTGATTGTATATGCATTTCTGTTTTGGAAATAACTTTCAGATTAAACTTGTTAAGCCCATTCATAGATAATTTGCACGAAAACAGTTCTGAACAACTTAGAAAATGGTCTTTGTCTAACTACCAGAAATAATTTATTGATAGAAATGTCTTTTAAAAAAGAAAATTTCATATTAGGCATCCGTAAAGGTTTTTGTTTGAATGTTGGGGGTTAAGGAGTGTAATAGTCAAGATATTAGATAACTAAGTGTATGAAGTTGTCATCTATGTTGATAACAGCGGAAAATTAAAAATAATTATTAAATCATAACTTTTTGTCTCATGAAAACCATAAAAAAGTATAAAACTAAAGGTTTTTGCATGTGAACTATAGAAAGCTTTAGATTCATAAAAACTAGATTTTTTTTTGATATTTTGATTTTTGAGGTATACTTTTAAAAGTGGATTTAAAGCACTTATGAAAAAACATTAACTTCTGTCGTTATGATTATTGATTTAGACAATAATGATTTTAATCTTTGATTATCAAAACACTAAAGTCATCTTTTTAACATTTGCTTGGTAGCATTAACTCAAGTCTAAAGTACTATTTTATGTGGCACTCTTAGAATTTTTGTATTCATTGTACACGCTGAAATAGTACCATTAAAGATATGACGAACTTTACAAAAAACAGTTAGGATACTATAAATCTAACTGCCAATTTATACACTTTCGGCTAAGGAGAAACATAATAAATTTGACGCTTTTCTTAGCAAGGAAGCCATATTTTTGATTTGATATCATTTTTTAATACAAATTTATATGTGTTAATGCGGGGGTAAACGATAAGCGCAATTACTTTTAGCAAACATACTTTGAAAACCAATATGCTATAATTTTATATTATAATTTGAATAAAAATTGTAAATTGTTAGTTCTTGATGCAGCATTCAAAGATAATAACAAGATAGAACGATTTTCAAAAAGGAATGTTTGATTTTATCATTGAATTAAAATAAAATTCTAATAGTAATATATATGTCTGTGTTATAATGAAATTGATGGTATACGTTAGCACCAAATTACATATGCTAGTAAATACAAGCCACATAAATAACATTTTAGTATGTCTGCAACCTTTTTTTTTGAATCATGAGTAAGTAAGAATATTTTTGTAACAAAATGATATCATGTATCGAAAGAACATACTTTATTGTTGTATCCTCTACTTTTCCAAAGATTATTGTATCTCAAATCTTAATTCTTTAGATGGTAAACAAAAACATTCATGCAAGAGACATTCCAAGGAGCATATTACACTGTAGAATCTTGAAAAAGTTGGAACTAATTAATTCACTCCAGAGGAGCAATGTTGTATGCATTCAATTTTAAAATAAAAAAAAAACTATATATTATCGAACTTAATACTTTGGGTTTTCATATCTATATACTTCTTCCAATGAACTAATTTCCAAACAAAGCTCTTGAAAAATCTTTAAATATAAGATGACTTTTGCTTATATTTTTTGATTTCTCGATAGCAATGCTAGGATATTACAATATTTCCATGTATTTTACTAGGTTGTAACTAGTTGGCATAAGAGTACATATATAGAATCGCTCCGACTATATAATATAATGTTTATTTAATATTACTGTTTATTTTACAGCTAAAGCTTAAACTTATAGTGTATTTATTTTTTAACTGTCTGAATAATGGCAGATTATTTTAATATTTAACATTGATATTGAAATATGAAATAATGCATTTTTCCTTTTTAGCTAGAACACTTGTTTGGGCAATATTTTTCTTTTTTAAACACCAAAATCACATATTTCTCTTATATATATATCTATTTTTAAATTATTTTGTTGATATTTTGACAATTTGAGTTAAATATCGATTTAATTCTATTTTTATGGGTAAAATATATATGTATATATCATATTTCATTATTGGTTTGTTAATGCAATTCAATTCTTGGATCCTTGAGTTTTCATTTGAAAGTTCAACTACAAATAAACCTTTCACTGAATATAGGTACTAAAATTTCATTCTAGAATAGCCATTCTTATGGTTTTATCAATATAAAACAACATTATATTTTTATATATTCTACTTGCTAATTACTTTTCTAGTTTCAAGATAAAGTTACTTAATCTCCGATAAGATGCATGAGATGTGAATTGGAGATATCGAGCATGCATATTTCCGAATATACTACTATATTATGTACTATTGTGGAAAGAAATTAAACTTTGTAAACTGAATGAATTTCATATAATGGTTGTCTGGCAGCTATGATTTCTCTTTTCGTATTTATTTTTCCCGAAAATCATTCAAGAATTAGGGGGCATTAACAACAATGATAAAAATGGCATTTTTCTTAATTTTTTTTGGAAAAAAATACATTTCATATTTATTTGTTCTTAATATAAATTAATAATATTAATTTACCTTACAAATGAGTTATGTAAAGTATTCAAATTTTAACTACAATTTTTATGCAGTCGAGCAACAGCAGATGCGCTTTTGCTTGATTTTTATTATCACCAGTGCCGTCTATAGTAAATAGTTTATAAATAGAACAACTGCACTCTTAATTATCACCAAAATAAATCAAAGATTTTAAAAATTGATTGTAATTATAGTTAGATTAACCATCATCACTTGCAAACTGAACTAATTTACTACTTCTCCAATTAACACTCATGAACAATGTTTTTTTAAAAAAAATATAATTTTTTATTCTAAATTTTACATTAACATGTCATTTATTATGATCTCATAAAACATATCCATATATTATAGTTACAGTAATATTAAAATTTCAAATTTTGAATTAATTTGGTTATATTATGACCATTAAGCCAAGATCCCAACTTCTCTATGCTATCTATGAATTTCAACTCTATATGTAACTAACACGTTATAAGTTTTGTTTATAAATATAAGGTGCATTTCAGTAAATTACTCTTTTATAATAGTTCTTTTATTACAGCTATAAAATCTATACTAAATCTATATGTTTTTATACTAAATTTATTAATTGTAATACTAATTTTAATTGTTGCTGATCATATGCTAAATTTTATATGAAATCCTTAATTAGAAACTTGAGTTGAATATATATTATATGAAACAATCGGTGTTTAAAACAAAATACAGCTTGATTTATATAGTAATTTATGCTTTACATGTATTTTATATAAATTTTTATTGAATTCAAATATTCAATAGTTTTTTTATGCTAGATTAGTTGTATTTATTTAAATATATTATATTGGCAACCTTTCTTTACCCTGTCCTAATAAACGCATTTTGTAAAAAAATATAGTGCATCAGTTTCGAACTAGCGTCCCCGGTATCCAATAGTAAGGGGTAATAACCATTCGACCATTTGCCACGTAAAGCATCGCCAGATTTTTTTGTATTTAACCACTCCCAAAACACTGTTTTGGCTTATTGGAAGCATATCAGACATAATCGCCATAATCAAAAAATCTATATACCCAATAAGTAATAAATTTGTCGATATAGATTTTCCATAAAATTAGTTTTTAGTCTGATTATAGATCCAAGGTGATGTGATTTTTGCATCCCTGGGATGGACGATACACCCAAAGTGTCACCTTTTTGGGATAACATGAATTTTAAATATCATGAGAGTTCTGCAAACCATATGCACAATATCTATTCAGCCTGACTTCTTGTATATATGAGTTAGACTTCTTAAATATTGTGCTTGGGGCGATATAAGCATTTCCGAGATTACCATCGTGCTCTATAGTATGCTACTTCTCCCTGGTTCTAGCTCAGTTCCAAGGATATTGGCGTTCAAGGATTTGGCAAGGTCCTTCCGAAGTCTCTCATTCGATGAGAGATTTCGGAAGAATCTTGCCTTAAAGTACTCCAACTCTTGTTCTTTTGTTCCTAAATAGTGAGAAAAGTTATTTGACTACTTAAGGTAGAGATTATCCGAGGTCCCTCATTTGATGAGAGGCCTCGGATAATCTCTGCCTTAAAATTGTACACTTGTAGTCCATGAGAGTGTAAGTATACATTGATAGAACAGCTTTCTTCTGAAGTCTTAGATTTGATGAGAACCTCAGAAGAAAACTGTCATATTTTATAGTAAAAGGAGTTTCAGGAGCTCCAAGGCTCCCTTTTGTAAGGATTAGGAGCTTTGGAGCTCCTGGTTCGTAGATGTGTTTCGCATCTTTCATCAGCAAAGGATATTTACCATCTGGGACTCTGTTGATGGAGACTCAGGAGCTCCAAAGCTCCCTTTAGTAAGGATTAGAAGTTTTGAAGCTCCTGGTTCGTAGACGTGTTTCGCATCTTTCATCAGAAGAGGCCCAAATGCTAAATAGCCTCTGCTGATGAGCTTCAGGAGCTCCAAGGCTCCCTCTCGTAACGATTAGGAGCTTTGTAGCTCCTGAAGGTAAGGTAGGATTGCTCTGATCTCTAATCAGTAGATGCCATGCCTCATTATGAACTCTACTGACAAGAGATCAAGAGCTCCAAGGACTCCCTTTTTAGTTAGTGGCGTTCTCACCATTTAGTAGGATTGCTGATCCTACTAATGAAGTGATCACTTAGTATACGTTTTGAATAAATTGAATTTTTTTTAGAATTTAGTATTTTTTATAGACATCACATGTATATTATAAATACATAAATATATTCTTTAATTCAAAAAATTCAATTCGGTTTTGGGATGGGTATCCCAGCCCCAAGTATTCAATTTTATTCAATTTTTAAAGAATTTTGGGTTGGGATGCCCAGACCAAAACAAGCTTTATATTTTGATGTGTAGATACGTATGTGTGCATCATTGTTGTGTTATATATTATGTTTTTAATGAAAAAAATCTGATTCAAAAAAATTATCACTAATTAGTTGATAATATAAAGAAAAAATAGATAAATTGTATGTTTTGAGAGTATTTATCCACATTCACTCATATGAATTTCATTAAATAGTGTCTTTTTACTCCCAAATTTATTTTGAATTATTGAAATCAAAGAAAAAAAATCAGAAAAATTTCTCGAAATTTTTATTTTCAAAAAAAAATTTGGATTTTATATTGAAAACTGACACTGGGAGGACGATAGGGCTGGGATTGGAGATACCCCCCTCACTTGGGAAAAATACGGATCTATAGTCTGATCTTAAAATAAATTTAATTTTTTATAAAAAAATCGAGGATGTTTTATTGTCGTCTGGAAAAAGTGACAAAATTATTATTGTCGTCTGGAAAAGTGACAAAATTATCATTGTCGTCTAAAAAATAGATTTTTCAAGCATGTTTCGGTACCTAAATAAAGGAAGAACATCAATTCCATCTATGTATATAGTATGCAAACACGCATGATATATGGAGTAGCTCTTTATCTGGCTAAAAATCCTATTATTTGAAAATTCGCATTGTCGTCTAAAACCGCCAGACGACAATAATAATACCCCAAAAAAATCACATTTAAAAGTACCTTTTTAGTAGCTCGAAATCCTGTTGGTGGATTTCGGGCGTACTTCAAAATTAGCTTTTCTTCTACATATGCAAGCTATATTTTAAATATGGGGCAAATCGGATCGGCGAAAGGAGTTTAGTTACCTTTTGTAAACTAAAATCCTTATATTAATCTATTTGAAATTAAACATATTCTGGCTTTTACAGCTTAAGTTGGAATTCATGGATATTACTGTGTCTTGTTCCTGGCAAAAAAATTGGGATCGCAGGGCTGGTGTGTATTATCATAAATCCTTATAGAGTAAGCATATTTAAGCGATTTCTAGTTGAAGTATACTGATTCATAAGTAAATCAACCAAAATTTATCAAAATTATTCAAGTTTTAATTTCATATCCTATATTCGCACTTTCGTAAGGTTTCTCTATATACTTATGGAAGATGAAAACATACACGATTTTCTTGACATATGTTGTCCAGAAAATTTAAATTAAGGGTTTAGATCAGTAATTGAAGTCTTATGTTCTAAATTTCTATTTACATTGATATGATAATTGTATAATAATGCTTATATCTTCAAAAAGTTGAATATTACTAAATTTTTTTTTAGAATTCCAGAGTTTATATGTCACTTTATGAATAGAAATGAAAGATATTAAAAATATTATAATTATGCATATTCGAAAATTCAAAAAAAATCGCAAATTCATTAATTTGATTTAAAATTCATTAAATTTCAATTTTATTTTTTGATTTTTGATTTTTTTTGGAAAGTTGTTGTAGCAATCAATTAAATCTACATTATATGGCATTTCAAATTCCGTGAACGAAATGCTTTTTGAATATATTTTCAATTATTGAATTTTAATTTTATTGTTTAATCCAGCCAATATCACAATACATTTAAATTACATTATGAGTAGATGTCTAATATGTAAAAATCTCACATCGTGGTCAGACTTGACGGTTTTCGGTTTTGACGTGGCCTTTTTTCTTATGGTTCATCATCCAAAGACAAAGAAATTCTTCTGCAAGTTCTGCAAGAAGCACACAATGTGCAAGGTATCGCAAGCATCACGCGGTGAAGAGCGCCACTCCGCTCTTGGTCGCCGTCGCTACGATCGCAAGCAGAAAGGTTTTGGTGGCCGTGTTAAGCCAATTCTTCGTCGTTCTAAGAAGACATCTAAGAAGATTTCTCTTAGATTCACCTGCCAGTCTTGCAAGAAGGCTACAATGTACTGCTTAGGCCGTCTTCGTAAGTTCGAATGGACAGTTGAGAAGAAGAAGAAGCACGCGGAGCCAACATGGTAAATAAATATTGTTTTAAATGCTACAAAATAGCATAGTATCACTTTAGATCTTCTTAAAAAGTGATTTAGGTTTGACCCAATAATCGGCCTATTTAGGTCGATATATGGAATCAGAACAATGACTGATATCCATAGTCTTCTACAGTTCTTCTGTAGAGAAAAAACAAATCACGATTTTTTTCTTTTTTCAATCCTTCGCTTTTTCATAATACTTCTACATCACATCTTCTCTTTTAGTTTATCAGTGTCCTACTTTTGGCTTTATTTTTCATATAATTTAATATTTTTGATATTTTTTGGATTTATTTGATGAGAAAGCGTTTATTTCATTATAATTTATTGAGATTTATCGATTTGCTACTATGCAATTGTTTCTATTCGTTTATTATTCGAAATTTCATTTTGATATTTTGGATTAATTTAGTTCTAATTGTTTCTTTGCGTTTAATAATTTGTTCTGATGAGCTTAAAAAGCGTTTTAAAGAAAGATTTAAAGAATAATTTCAAAATTTTCTCTAAATCTTTTTTTTACTAAATGAATTTAAGAAAAAATAATTTTAATGAGAATCGATAAGTAGTTTTAAGCCGAAACAAACAATACAAATGAAATAAAAATTAAATACTGAGTAATTGTCTGACTGCGGGGACATTTGTAAGATAAACACAGAGTATTATGAACGTGATGATTGTCTTGTGTAATGATGGCGATGTAAAGAAAGCCCAAAGTCCGTCAGCCATGTTTGCCATTACGTAGATTCCCCAAATTCCGCCTGCAACCAGGAGAACTCCGAAGGCAAGCAAGAATAGAATCGTTCCATTGAACTTTTGACCGCTTCCAATCAACATAACCAAATTATACAACGGCCAAGAGATTCCGCCAATAGAAATAGCTTCAGCCATCCATACTGTCTTATCTATGTATGTCTTGCAGCCAAAAGTGATTCCCCAGAACCAAACTGTTGTAAATGGAGGTCCACGGCTGAAATGAAACGGGAAAATCCATCTCAACACATGTGTGAATATTGCAAGGCATTTGAGGAATGTTGATGCCTGAGAGAACCTCCACATCATGTAGAAAGGTCCTACAAAAAGAGAAACAAAGAAATCAAGGATGTCACTTTTTGTGTATTGATTTCCTGAAATCAAATAATCATCAATTCTCTTGAAAAACGAAGAGACAAATGGTATGTTTCCAAGTATGAAAGGAAGTATCAAGAGAATTGCCATCACAATATCTGAACTTATAGCCATGTTAACGATCTTTTTCACCCGTAAATGGTATCCTGGGGAAAATTGCTTCCTTTCTTCGCTTTCCTTACCGACAATGAAGTTCATTGACTTCTCTATATCACCGTTAAGGAAGAGTTGATGGCTTCCTGACAGGCAATTGACATTTAATCCGTAAACAACATAATTTTCAGATTCAAAGTCTTTCTCCAACTCACCGCATACGAAACCATCGATATTTACGCGAACGTTATGTGGCTGCTTGTCGAAAAAGGCAACTCTGACTCTGAAATCGTTTCCAATGTAATAATTTCTCGGAACAAATTGATCTGCAGGGGGAGGACATATAACTACTGATATTGGCTTTGTAGTGTCAACAGTACTGATCGCTGAAATGCCATTATCAATAGAAATGATGTCAATGAAATTTTGGCAACTCTTTGGCGTTGGACCAATTGATTCTACGATTCCATGACCTACAACATGCTTGTATCCTTCCTCGAAATGATAATGACCAACAAGAGAATACCTGAAATTGTTTAATGGACCGACAACATTCAAGAATTGCTCGCTATTTTCAAGTGCACCGGTTGGATGATGCATCATAAGTAAGTTGAATAAACAATCTTTGCTTTTATCGACAGCGTTTTCGAGTTCCATTAATTGTTCTTGAGTTGGCTTCAAGAATGTACCGTAAGGGCATGGTGAATAAGGAAAGAAGTATGGGTTATACAAAATAATATGAATTCTGCCATTTGATGTGTCAATATCGAAAGTATTTACTTCATATTTCGTAGAATCTCCATGGCAAATGCAATTTAAGTATTGATGAGAGATTGAAGAAATAGAAGGTGTCGAAACTTCATCATGGTTTCCTGCAACAGTAAAAACTTTTAATTTTGGATTATCTTTCATATGGTGTTTCAACAGCAGTTTGGAAAGCAGTTTCATATGGAGTAAGAAAAACTGTTTCATATGGAGTTAAATAAGCAGTTTCATATGGTGTTTCCTGCATTGTTTGGAGAGCAGTTTCGAAAGGAGTTTTTGGTGGTTTAACAATTGTAATTGTTAAAGGAGTTCGGCTTGAAGTATAACCATTACTATCCTTTGCATATACATTGATAGTATAACCTCTGAACTCAGTGACATAAGGAACTGTAATTGTGAAAGAAAATGGTGTCCAATCGCTTTGAGAATTATGATCATGGTTATAAAGAATATTTCCATCTTCAAATTCTGCAATAATAGTAACAGAAGATTCACCACTTTTAACATTACCAGAAATCTGAATTTCATCATTTATTTGTGCTTCTGATTTTGACAACTTCAAATCTTTTAATTCTGGTTTTATAATTAAATATAAAGTCTTTTCAATAACATTTGAAGTCCATTTTTTATGATCTGTTCCATAAATTTTAAGTGTGTGAGAAGTTGCTGTTCCAAGATTTAATTCAAAACTATATGACTCCTTAGTTGTTACACTATTTGGATAAAATTCATCTAAAGGAGTTTTTTACCATCAAACTCGTAATAAACTTTAACAAATTCAGAATTATCATATTGATAATCAAATTCATAAACATCGAATTGAACTGTTATTTTATCATTTTTATTGTATCTTTCATTGATTTCCTTTGTCAGTTTGATATAAGGTGGAGTACTTGTATCAGCATCAGCTCCTGCAACAACACTTAATGACAAAGTTTCTTGTGGATTTATTGTTTTCTTTTGCCATGAAAATGAGAAAACACTGTCATAATCTCCTTCATAATTTGTTACATAATCCATGTTCTTGAAATAAGGGAACTTATCTGTAGTATATCTCTTTTCATCAGTCATATAAGAATCATCTTTTCCACCGTAGAAAAATGTATCAACGTTTGTGACGTCCTTGGAATCTTTTAATAACAAAGTAAGCTTCTTTCCAGAACTTTGATCAATCATTGTAAATCCTCTATTGCCTTGAAGAGGTGTAATTTTTGCGAAGTCATCTTTATCAATAAAAATATCAGCGAAAACACCAACATCAATGGTTTTAGGTGAGTTACCATTATTAGTAATTTCAAAAAGAACTTTTAAATGGCTTGTAACGGAATCAACGCTTAATTTTGTAATGAAATTTAAATCATCGTAGTTAGCAACGCCATTATTAGTACCTGTTACATATTGCAGATTTCCTGCCTTACCATTTGCATATTCTCTAAATACAACGTACCATCCCCTGTTATCATATGTAGTTGATACCGAATTTGGAAGTTTAATGTCAAAGTTAGCATTATTACTATTATTTGTCTGTGAAAATGATGTAGTTATCTTGTTGGATGCGGACAATCCTTTAGTCAAAAGGATTTGGATAAACATCAAAAGTTTTTATAATAAAAATACCGAGCCCGATAAATTGAATTATTTACACACAATTCAAAATCGATAGAAAAAATAACTTTATAGAGATTGTATGAAGCTAATACATACCAAATTTTCAAAACTTATCATTTATAAAATTGATAGAAAGGTTGGCCATCAATTGATAATTGGACTTAATTTCAATTCAATGTGATTGAAACAAATTATTGATTTTGATACGAAAAATGGGCAAAACAGTTTCTGTATTCTAAAACAATGTTTTCTGTTTTTGCTATTTTTCACTTACGATGATTAAACAATACTCTAGCTAGATAACGCAAAAATTCTGCAATGAAGAAGAAATTTTAGGTCGGTAATCGTTTGTTAAAAACCGCCAATACAATAAAACAATATAGACATTTTGTTCAAAAATTTGAAATGTTCAACACTCATTATATACTATTTCAACAACGAACATTTTTTCGTTCAATTTTTCAATCAAATTTTTGACAAAATTTCTGTTAGATTTTATAATATGGATTATTCTAGGGTTGTTAAAAATATCAAAAAATAGCGTTTTGAAGACACCATGGTGTCTTATAATTTTCCCTTCCTTATTGGCGTGTAGAAATAAATGCGCCAATAGATTGAAGAAGAAGAATTGTTTTTCTCTTAATGAACTTTAATCCTTTTGATATAAGAATATTAAAAACATTAATATAATTTCGATTTCGGAAATTAAATTTCCAAATTTTTTGTCGATTTCGGAAATAACAGGATCCCGCACCCAACACGCAACAACAAAACACAAAACACACTTTTTGGTTCTTTCATCGTTTTAATCGTAATTTATGTAATACATGATTTGGATAAATTTTACAATAATAGAACCTATATTATATTCTTTTCAAAGATTCTTGCAAATCATCAAAAATAATTGTATTTTAAAAAACGATCAAATTATCCTTTCATTATTTTAAACTTAAATTAGTTTTTATGATTGACTAAAGCAATCATATTTATTCATCATTAAATAAACAAAAAAATAATATTTGAGAGTTATTTCAAAAAAAACACATTGAATTTATTAATTTGTCTCAATTTCAGTATTATAAATTTTTATAATTTCAATATTTTGAAATACACTTTTTAATATTTCAATATTTATGATATTTCAATGTATTAAGTGGTCTCAAATTGAGCTTCTCAAATATAAGTTGGCCTATTCAAATAATAAAATTAAATAATATTTAAAATAATAAATAAAAGTGATTGAGGTCATAGCAAAACGGCTGTTTGGAGGCAGTTAGGAGCTAGCGGTTGAAGCGATAACATTCACAGCCAACATCTACGGTCAAGCGGCAGCATTCAAGGGCAACATCTACGATCAAGCAGCAGCAAGGAGCTACGGCAGCAACGAACTACGGCAGCAAGGGGCTACGGCAGGTCAAGCGGCATCATTCAAGGCCAACATCTACAATCAAGCTGCAGCAAGGAACTACGGCAGGTCAAGCGGCATCATTCAAAGCCAACATCTACAACCAAGCAGCATCAAGGGGCTACAGTAGGTCAAGCTGCAGCATGGAGCTACAGCATCAAGGAGCTACGGCAGGTCAAGCAGCATCAAGGAGCTACGGCAGGTCAATGGCATCAAGGAGCTACGGGTGGTCAAGCAGCATCAAGGAGCTACGGCAGCAAGAGGCTACGGCAAGTTAAAGATCAGTCAGATCTGGAAATATCTTTTTCAAGATTTCATTTGTCATGAAAAGCTTCAATAGGATTCTACACTTTATTAGATCTTCACGTGCGTTTTGATTAAACCTATTACGCAGGTTCCGCACAATTGAAATCATTCTTTCCACATCAGCTTCGGTTGCAGCAATAGACATGAATTTTAAGGCAATCTCTTTCAATGCCTTGAAATTTGCATCACATGCTACCCAAAACCTTTGATCCAAGCAGGTGAGGTCGGTGTTGTTCCTGATTTCACTCTCATTCATATGTATAAAGTTGGAAAGAGCTTTCTTGTACTCATTAGCTATGCTCTTGGCCGAACTTCTCTTGTAGAACCTCGCTTCTGCTTCTGCACGTCTCGAAAGCATCTCGATCATAAAATCGTTGAAGCTGTACTCTTCCACTTCTTGCATTGACAGAGACGCCCATTCACCAAGGTTCCTGCCTAGTCTCCTCCTTGGTTCATTCTCTTCAACTTCTTCATCCTGAGCAATGTCTTCTGCATCTACTTGGCCATCACCTTCAATTGCTTCGTTCTCAATCTCGGGCTCTTCTATATCTAGATTTCTGTCCAATTGATCCTCTGCCACTTCATCCAAATGATCAGGGGTGTAGCTCCTTGGAGGGATTTCAAGTTCAGCATTGATAGGTATTGGTTCTTGGAAGAAGAGTGAAACGGCTGGCTTGTACTCAGTATGCATGTTCAATTCTGCGCGGATGACTGACCGGCTCCATGGAGTTAGACCAAAGGCAAATTTCATCAAAGCGTAGTTGCCCTGTTTGTCAAAAACTTCATTCATGTTGGCGATTAATGCATCTGCAATGCGCTTTGACGAACTTGATAATTCAGGACGATTTGCAATTCCGGTCAACTGCTCAATCGTCGATTGAAACATTGGATAGATGTAGCAGAAGCAGCCAACGTCACTCTCTGCATAATTCAAGAGTTTCTTGATTGGTAAAAGAATCTCTTCGAAATTTAACAATCATTGTGGAAGTCCATCCTTGAAATCAATTCCCATATCCCTTAAGATCTGAACAGATTCCGGTGGATCATCCATATTGAACAATTCATAAATTTTAGGGTGTTTTTCTTTTATCCACTTCAGAAGATCCCAGAAAAACATCCAGCGATGATCCGGAACATGAATAACCCTCATATTCAATGCCCTTCTCGTGTCCGGCTTCGATAACTCCTTGCTTATCGCTTTGCAATAATTAATTTGCATTGCGAAGGCTGCACAATTGTCTGCCGTATGCTTCACCACTAAGTTGAGGAGATGCGCAACACATCGGATATAAACGGTTTGAAGACCCGGATATAGTGCTCCGCATCTCCTCCAGTGGCACAGCCCTTTAACTTAGGCGGGGCATCCATCGGCAACAATTACAGAAAGGAAATCCTTTGGGAAGGTAAAACATTCAAAGAAATTATTGTAATCCCTGGCATTCCAACCATTAGCGATCATAGTATCAATGAAGATATGGTTCTTCATTTTTGCTGGATTGCTAGCCATCACAAAAAAGCCATGCCGGATTCCGTGTGATGCCGCATCAATTGTTATCGAATAGTAGCCCATCTTGTCAAGCTCAACGTGTATTTTTGGAGCTACCAAGTCGGCTAATGTAATGATTCCATCCCTTATCTCGTCTCTTCTATATGGGATCTTGAGTTGAAAATTGATTACTCCCTTGAAGGTGGAGTAGACATGTCGGGCGAAATCTTCTAGTACACCTGAAGCGGCCATATTGATTGACATGTTGGTATCCACAGTTAGTATACAAGTCTCGTGTACTGAGGCACTGCGCGCCTCCATACACCACTTAGCTGTTTTGACACTTTACAAAACCGTTAACGTATATTTTACAACACAAACACAAACACCAACTTAACCTTAAATATTTATAAAGCCGCCAACCACTTCACCTCACTAATGTTTTCACAAACGACTTCACTACTGTAAAAAATAAACGTTCTCACTTACAAAAGTATTGCAACTCTTCCCATTGCTGTGCTTCACACAATAGTTCATATTCTTCAGTATCGCTGCTGTCGCTCCAATCGTCAGAGTCAAAGTCACTGTCAAAATAAATGTTAGTAAGTTTTGACAAAGCTAATGAAACACGCTTACCGTTTGTATCTATTGCTTGTATAAACTTTCCATTCTTCATTCCTTCATAAACGCTCAAACTAACTTTACCCTTTCTCCCTCGTATCTGATAGAATGTATTTTCACGAGGAACGAAGAACAAGTTCTTGAACTCATGACCGTTGTAGTTTGTTATCTCAATAGTTTTCGTCATTTATATAAAAATAAAAATAAAAAATAAACTTAAAAATAAATGATATCACCACCCTCACACGTATGAAAACATAGCACAAAAATAAATTTAGGTGAAGTGGTGAGATCTCACCTCTTTTTTCACCTCTTTTTTCACCCTGTTGAATTCATTGCTTTATAACTCTCTTCCTTGGTTTCTTTTTAGTTGCTTTCTTCACGTCTGTCTCCAACTTGACTGTCTTTCTTCTTCGGCCGTAATGATACCAGTTACTTCCACCAGTCAATGGGTCAAATGGTCTTTCGTAAGGGTTTCCATACATTCCATAGGGACCATACGGAAGAACTACTGGTGGAGAAGAAACATTTTCTTTAGTTCCATCGACTCTATTTAAATGCATTGTTTCACCTTTCATCTGGTCATTAAAGTCTTTTGCGTGTTTTGCAAACTCATCGTCCTTTCCTAAAGCATTTTCTGACTCAGTCGCAACCAAATTGGATGCTTTATTTATGAGCCCTATTTTATTTAATCTTAACTTCTTTGCAACCCAGCCTCCAATCTTTCCTTTATTTGCATCTAATGTCTTTGAAACCCTTCCTCCACTCATTTTATTTACTGCGTCATAAGCTCCAAGTGCTTTTGCTCCAAATGCTAATGCTTTTGTTCCCATTGCCCCTAAAGCTGCCCAAGCTACCATTTACCCCATATTAAAATCATCTCTCTTCAATATTATCTCATAAAAGTTCTCGTTACTGGAGAAAGTCAATGAAACATAAACATTCTCACGTGCTTCGCTCTCACCGCTTTGCGGTCTATCTAACTTCTTTCTTATCTCATCTATTCTCAATAAAATGTCTGAACAATTGCTAACATCTTCTACAACTGTTATTTCATCATGAACGACCTTTAAGAACAAGCTCATTTAATATGCTATTAAAATCATCTCAATAATGAGTCCATCCTTTCCATCTTTAGGTAGCACAACATCTTTCATTGAAGAAGGTTCGACAAGTCTTATGTTAAACTTACTGACAAAGTTTGTTATACTATAATGCTTCGGCGGCGAATACATATAGTTTGAAAGACATAATATAGATTCTTCAGCAAATTCACTTATACTGGATTTTATAACAATGTTCTCACGAGACCAAACGCCACCAATTGACAATCTTGTAAGCAATCCTGCTGAACCTTCAACTGTAAACGTCGATGGTAACATTCCACGAAGGTCATCTATTGACATCGTTGAGTCACTGAATTTAAATATTTTCTTAAAGCAATCGTCATTATCTAACCATGCAATAGCTTTGAAGTTTTCATTTGAATATACATCTGCTTCATTAAATGTAAATCCTGACTTCTTTGCAGAGATGACTTTAAAATCTATTGAGTTTGTTTCAAAATTATATGCTATGGTAACTTCTGAAGGTAATGGGTGTCCTTCTGCAGTAAGTTGTTCTCTCACTACCGTTTGAAGCTTTGTGTTAAAAACTTTCATGTCATCTCCTGTATCTAAGTTCACATACACAGCAACAGGGAAACTATCTTGCTTCTTTGTTTCATCATTATATCTCAAAACATTAAAGTTCTTCAATAATATTGTTCTTCCTGCTGGAATACTTCGAACCTGTCTGATTTCAATAGCTTTCTCACCTCCTACATACTCTACCCAGTGTCTTGGATATTCATAAGTATACTGACTTTCTTGAATTTTGGTAGGTTTCATCATAACGTGTTCATAGTATATCTTTATACTCTTGTCAGTTAGACTCGGTGCTATGTTCTGAATATTTCTGACTTGCATTTTTAATGGATATAAAATGAAGCATTTAATACATGACGTAGATGAAGACATGAATGAAACCACAGATAAACTTAACTCTTCTCTCATTCTTCCTTTCAGCAAAGATTATGAGTTCTGTTCAAATGGTGTGTATTTCTATTGTGGAAAGATGGGTTCAGGTAAGACATTTAACCTCATTCGTCATATACTCATAACAGAGCGTTTAGGAAACGACTCTTACTATGACCAAATCATTATATCAGCAACTTCAGACTCTATGGACTCAACAGCGAAAACATTTATGAGTAAAGTTCAAGCATCTGTCGTTAAAGTTCCAGACAGTGAACTCATTGAATTTCTTCAACGTTACATTCGACGTAAGAGAAAATATTATGCTATTGTAGAGTTCATACAGTCAGGAATGCAAAAGACTTCAGAAGAGATGGAAAGAATTATTGACAAACACCACTTACGTCAGTACTCAGGAGTTTACGATATGAAACGACTGACAAACTACATTCTATCAAAACTTTCAAAATACCCCTTCAAAAAGTATCCTTCAAACACTCTGCTCGTTTGTGACGACTTCGCCGAAAAAGGTTTAGTGTCAAAGCCTGACTCACCATTAGCTAACATCATAACTAAAGTCAGACATTACCATTTAACTGTAGCAATACTTATGCAAACATGGCGTTTTCTTGCTTTAAACATAAAACGTCTCATAACTGACTTCGTTATCTTTCAAGGTTTCTCACGTTATGATATTGAACTCATTTGGAAACAGTCAGGTATAACATTACCTTTTGAAGAAATTTAGGAAGCATATAAGTCTCTCATCTCTCCTCGTTCATACCTTGAGATTCATATCATGACTAATACCATTAAAGTCAAAAATATTCCATGGGAACGACCAACATTGTTTTAAAGTTTAACCTTCAATTGACTGATGGTAAACAAATTCCATGCATCTCTGTCGCCATTTCTGTTAATATTTTTGCTGTCATTCATATCATCCACTTCCCCATCCGTTAGCTTTTGAGGATATGCGTTAGAATAGCTGTTCTTAAATGAAGGCTTTTCACCTTTGAGAGCATAAACTCTATAACTTTCTGCATACTTTATGTTTGAACCTCCTGAGCCATCATTGACATAAATTTTTATAGGCTTCCACCCTTTGTTCATGTTCCTGCTTCTTCCCTTTGCTCTTTTGTTCAGTAGTTCTACATCTTTATACACAGCTCCTGTCTCAGTGAATTCAACAATATTTTCATTCGTTAGCTTTACATTCAAACCCTTGTCGAGTATATTGTTCATTTCATACATATAAAAGGTTTTTATTCTATATGAAATGAGAAGCAAATCCATCTTAGCTGGTGCCGTTAATGTTCCAATTGAACCAACATCAAATGTTGACTCACGAACGACAAACAATATTGTCATAAAGAACTATAGTTCAGAGTGTTTGAAAGAAAAAGAACCAGAGCTGAAATCCGTGAATTTAAACACAGCTTCAAACGCTAACGCTACATCAGATGTTAAGTTAGAGTATCCACCACTGGACCAAATTCTTTCAAGAGAAGCCAACGACAACCCTTACATAAATGTTCAAACAAATCCTTCAGATAACGTAGACCATTACCTTCTTCAGTTATACCAAACAATTTTACTCAAAGACGATAAGAAGCTTTTGATAAATCTTATAAGTAAGAACCAAATAATTCTAACAAAGGAGGACCTTGAAAATGTTATATCACGAATAACAGGAAAGCAATGTGTCATTGACTATCTCGACCCTGAAATCGAATGCTGTGGTCAAACGCCAATATTCATGAAAATAGGTAACATCCGCATCATTGAAACACCAGGAACTACAGGAGTTGAGTTTAAGTATAAATATTCGAACGAGTATACAAAACTATCTACTTACTATAAGCTTTGTTTGAAATATGTTTTAGTAAATTAAAGCAGTCAGGAGGGCTCTTTGAGCCCATCTTGGCGCTTTGCGCCGTCAGTCAAAAAATTTCAAGTTAGCAATTTGTAATATCTATCCAAAACTTCTTCAACAGTATCGAACTCATCTTCATAATGCAAACCTAATCTTATTGACTTGGTGCAGTTTCACTAACACAATATTTTTCTGTTCTCTTGACTGACATAACTAACTCATTTGTTTCATCAAACAGCAACAACCAAAGTTCATGACCTAATACATAACATTCATACTTTATATTTTTAGCTCTGAGTTCTCTTGTAAGCTGTTGCATTTAATATTTTCTAAAAAGTCAACTTCAACAGTCATTCGCACTGGTGCCTTCAGTTCTACAGGCTCTCCTTGAAAGTCAACAAGTCTGAATTGCATGTCTTTCAAATTATGAGGACTAATGCGAACCCATTTACCTAAATGAGTTGCTATGACAGGAACGTTTGGAATGAACATTAAATTGACTGCATAACAGAAAGACTTATATTCTACTGAACCTTTACTATTAACTCCTGAAATACCTGTGACATTAGCTATTTTTGACTCAACGTACAAACAATTACCATAACATACATATGGAACAGATTTCATCTCAATCGTTTTGTCAACACTTTTCAAAGGAAATGTCATATGGTATGCACCCAAAAGAAGTTGTACTCTATGACTCATTCGTGTTATCTTAAACTCCTTCGCATAACTGAACTTCAATGTTCCCTCAGAAGAGAGTTCGACATCTATGTTGTCAATAGTTTCTTCATTTATGAGAGCATTTAACACTCCAGCAATTTTATCTATTCTATACCCAGCTCTGTTAGGAAATGTTATAACACTTCTTTTGTCATCTATTTCAATCTCCATGAAATCTGTTTCATCTGTTATGACAAAAGTTGCGATAGTATTGAAGTCAACAACTCTGAAAGCAAGCGCTTCATTCTGAAGACCTAAGTTTGTTTGTAGCTTTACTGTCCCGTATTCGTTTGGTCTGTACTTTGCAAATAGAACAACATTTTATTCTCATTAAAATATGACTATTGCTGCATATGCGTATGAAACAAATGAAGCAAGAAGAGCACATGAACTAGTAAACGAAAACTCAACTTTAACCATTGAAGCAATGATTTAGTCATTGACGATGGAAAGACTAAAAAAGTCATTGATTTCGATACTTTTAACACTTATGACCCATTCATTACAATAAGTAAAGTTCCTATCATAAATGATGGAACAGTGCAATATATAAATTCTACAGTAGATGCCTCATTAGTGAAAGTATTAAATGTTCTCATTGAATTGTTAAAGAGCTTTCGATTTGACGACAACATTAAATGCTTAAAGAATTTAGTCATGAATGAGAAACAAATTCTCGGCGTTGCTGGTAGCAGTAATGATGTACACCTTATGACATTAGAATATTATAACGAACATAAAGATGAACTGAAAGGAGAGAAGGGTGACACTGGACCTCAAGGACCACAAGGAATACAGGGAATACAAGGACCTCAAGGCGAAACGGTTGGATGGTGAAGATGGAAAGGATGGAAAAACTGCTAAATCATGGATATGGAACCTTATAAATACTGGTTTAACAGCTGCTTCATATGGAGTTCTTCAATACCAAATCGGAAAGATATGGACAGTACTTGGTGAAGAAGTTTTAGATGACGTTAAAAATGCTTTGAACTTCATTTCAAATGGTTCGGATACTATTAAAACTTTATCTGGTTGGATGCAAGAACCAAAGAGTCAAAGATACTGTAAGACGTATAGCAAACAATGCACGTACGGGATTGGATACTTTACGAGAAGCACAAAATACACTAAAGGAAGCAAATGATATTCTTGGCTCAGTATCAGACATGCATGAAGATTGGCTTAAAGGTATTGACAAATCTTTAAAAAATCACAGTCAGTCTATTGCTGACTACAAGAAAAGTATAGATTTTTTACATAGTGCTATGGACGTACATGATGGAAGCATAAGGAACTTACTTAATGCTAACAATAACTTACCAGGAACTATTAAAGCATTTATAAAGTCCTTTGTAAAACCGGTGCTCTAACATTTAGGTCTTTGAGAGCAAGAGCATTGAAGTCAAGAGATGCAGAAACTCCAAAACAGAAACTCCAGAAGAACCACCAAAACCAACAGCTAATGAAATATTGTTCGAATATTTTCCAAGGTACTCTGTTCTCATTGCATACATTCAAGAAATACTTAAGAAAGCAGACTTGACTTTAGGAGATGATGAAAGTTCTGTATATCTTTCGTTCCAGTTTCAAATAGCAGAACTTTTGAGACAGATATGCTTAATGTATGACAACATCTCTGATTTCACAAGATATGATGACGACCATGACCCCGAACACGGTGAAGAAGAAGTTTTACAAACATCCATTAAGACAGGAAAGGTTTTAACTCAAAGTCTCATTATTGACACTAAAGATGGCGAAGTGGACGTTCTTCAAGAGCTGAAGAAAAATACTTCTTCGGGAGGTTGGTAGGCATGAACTTGAAATAAATGAGATAGAAGAGAAATTAGCCGAAAAAGCAGATAAAGAACATAAACACAATATCTCCGATATAAATGAACTTCAAGCTACATTAAATAGTAAAGCGGACAAAAATGAACTTGACGCAATGAACAAAGTTTTGAAATCTCATAAACACAATATCTCCGATATAAATGAACTTCAAGCTACATTTAATAGTAAAGCGGACAAGAACCATGTTCATTATATAAGTTCAGATGAACAGATTATAACGGACTATCATGGATATTTAACACAGGATGAAGAAGAAGTGAAGACGAAAAATGTTAATGAAAGAAGATATAAATTCATTCGTGCTAAAGGTTATGACATACACTGTACTGTACAGTATGACACAGGTATAGCACCACAAACATTTGGTTATAACGCTGAAATTTATGCTTCATACTTCTTTGTTAACGGTGTATTAGTTGAACCAAGATTTATGTTAAGAGTTAAGGCAAAAATAACTTTTGAAGATGCTATTAAAAGTAAAGCTGACAAAAATGAACTTGACGCAACGAACAAAGTTTTGAAATCTCATAAACACAATATCTCCGATATAAATGAACTTCAAACTTCTTTAGACAGTAAAGCAGACAAAAACCATACACATAAATCCTTCACTACTGTTAGAGCAGACGACATAATATTGAACTATACCCTTGGTTCAAGTGCACCTTTAGAGAATCCAAGTACAAGCGTAAAAGATACACTAAACTCCTTAAATAGTAAATGTATGAACATTGAAGGTCATGTCAGAAACTTTGAAACACATGAACTACCAGCAATGTTAGATAAAAAAGCAGATAAAACTTATGTGGATGCAGAACTAACAAAGAAATTTTCGAAACCAGATACAATGACATTTACAACAGAAATTATAAATGGTGAACCAGCAACTCCATTTGAATTTGTTAGAGGTCTTCAACCAGATACTTTTGAATTTTTCTTGGATAATTCTTTTGAACTAACATTACATTATAAAAGTGGAACAAATGCAACATTTCATCCGGGAGATACATTCCAAATGGTATTTAATGACATAAGTTCTTTAGAATATGTTTATAGAGTTATGAGCATATATGATTTAATATATCCTATAGGAGCTGTTTATACGTCTATGAATCCAATAAATCCAAACACTTTATTTGGTGGTAGATGGTATGAAATAGTTGACAGTTTTCCATTCTACACTAATACGCAGTCAATGAAGATGGGAGGTTCAAAGAAAATAGGTATTGAAAACCTTCCTTCACATATGCATAGGTTCAGTGGAAGAACATCTGTGGAAGGAAACCATTCACATTCAATAACAAAAAGAGGTTATATAAATCTTGCAGCGGGTTCGAATAGACAGGAATGAACAGATATGATATCTCAGATGACCCCAAAGATGTTAGCACAGGTATTTTCTGTGGAACTGCAGGAAATCATACACATGTTGTAGCTGGTATTACAGACCCAGCAGGTAATGGAAAAGATTATATGCCTCCTTATATAACAATGCACGCTTGGATACGAGTTGGTTAAAATCTTTAACTTTACATAAATGAGCTTGAAAGAAGTATTCGAACAACATCCATGGAGGTCATTTAAGAAGTTCAATGAAGCTGCAAAAGAGTTGGGATTTACTAACAGAGCTGAAGTGAAAAGTTCTTTGACAAAAATGTTGTACATCAAACAAAAATAAACCCTTACGACTACTTTTTACCAATTTACTCCAACACTCCTGACGCATACCAATTTGACACTCTCATTCAAAGCAGAAAAGGAGGACATAAACCATTCCTCATCTTCATAATGTTAACACTCGAAAGCATATGCATATCCAATGAAAAATAAAGGAACTCGTGAAGTGTTAAGAGTTTTACAAAAGTTTGTAGCAGAAACATAGCCCAAGTACTTTAACATCAGACCAAGACAGTGCATACCTCAGCAATGAAATCACAGATTTCTCATTAAGCATAACATAACTCACTACACTACTGAAGACCATAACCATAACATACTCGGCATCATAAACCGCTTCATAAAACGCTCAGAGATTTAAATCAAGAGCGAGACTTTACCGAAGAAACAATGAAACATTTTCTCGAAGTATATAATTCCTCAACACATTCTACAACAGGACATACACCAAATTCAATGACACAACAACAAGAAGAAAAGTATATACAAAAGAAACGAAGTCAAACACAAAATATCAGAAATTCAACACAATTTACCCTCATTCCTGGTACAAAAGTTCGTGTAGTTCTTGACGACAAACCATTGACAAAGAAACGTTTAAGGTTAAGTCGAAATTATTATATCGTAGACTCTACGCAAGGTAATGGATATCTTATAAAAGCTGCTGACGACTCCATAGCGTTTTACCCTCGTCATAAATTAGTCGAAAGTAGTAATGGCAAACTTGCTGAAACCATTGACGAAGCAAAGCGAGGAGTGGTTATTGAAATACTTGGCTATAACATAAACGATGACACTTATAAAGTAAGATATGAAGGAGGCTTGAAGATGTTATACCATCTAAGAACTTGAGAGAATCTAAACCAACACATCTGGGACCATTAGAGCGGGAGTATTGGAAAGATAAAAACATGCCAGAAAGAATAAGAAAATTCTTCTAAACTTTTTCATTAGATGTAAATCAGACAAAAATATATTTTAGGTGAAGATTCCTCATTCGCTAAGGATTCCAAAAATGAAAAAATCATTGATTTCGGCTGAGAAAAAACAGCAAAACCCTTCTTCCACGGGAACAAAGAAATAAAGAAGAAATAAAGTAAATTTTTTATTTATTCCCGTGGAAGATAGAGCACTTTTATGACACTTTTTATTCACGACAAACAAGACAAACAAAGAAAATAAGAAAATACGGCGCTGTCGCAGTTTGAACCACAGACCCTGACCCCTCCATAACACCACCTTAGACCACTGTGCTACGTAGCCTGTCGACATAAGATTTTATAAATTGCATATTTGACGTAAATTTATTTCCATCTGGCTTCCCACTGCATAAGATATTCATACGTGTTTGTAAGACATTCATTAAACTTCTTTTCTATTGCATCTAATCTTGCGTTATTTTTTCAATAACTTGTCTGTATTCTTCATCATCTCCAGCAGTGTTTGGGTCTTCACGTTTAAAATATTCATTGTTAACAATTTTTTATCTACAAATTTTATTAGTGTTTGATTCACTTCGTTATGATAAACGGTCATATTCTTTCAATACGTAAGTGAAGACAAAATGCGTCGTACCTTCAATCTTAAAGCTTAAAGAACTTTCAACACAGTTTTGAGGGTCTGTCAGTGCGTCAATGAGATAGTATTCGAAGTCATTCAATAATTTTTTAAAGTCATTCATACAGGATAAAATTTAATGTTGTGAAGAAATAGTGTTTATCTCAGAAAAAATAAAGTTAATTTTTATTTTTTCTAATTTTTTATTTTGTATGTAAAGACAGATATGTCAACAACAGAGAACACAACAACTGCTATCGTTCATGAAGCCATAAATGAAGAATACGAGTACATACAGTATAACAAACAGTTACGTCTCATTCGTTCGGTCAAAGACGATATGTACCAAATGCAAAGTATTTTGAATGCTCTTCGTTCTACAAAGCAAGCATATCATTGGTTTGAAAACCAACAGACAAAAGAACTTTTAGAAGAATTTCCTCATATGATTGCTTCCCTCGGAAAACCGAGGGAAGAGATTCCATTCGAAAATCGCAAGAATTTGGCTCCTTGTTTGAAAGGTTATTATGTTCATAGACTTTTAGTAAATGCTGTAGCAATGTGGGCTTCACCTCGTTATGCTTGTTATATTTTCATGATGTTAGATGAATTATATAAAGCAGAACGTGAAGATATGGAAAAGAAACTTCAAGCAAAAGATGAAGTCATTGAATCCAAAGACAAAAGCATACAGAAAAGAATACCACGTTCAGTACCAAAAGGAAAGGAAAAGAGTTATAAGTATATGATTTACGCTGAAGAGATGGAAAATGAAGAAGATAAAGATATGGTTATGTTGCATTTAGTCAGAAGAAACAACAAAAGCTTTTACGACCTTGCTAAGATTTACAAATCTGACAGAAACTGGTTCTATCGTGAAAACTTACCGATTTCAATGACACCGAATGAGCAAATAAAGGAAATTGTCAAAAATACTCTTCCTCAAACACACTATGACATCAAAGGTTGCACAATACTTACATTCAAAGAAGACTTACCATTACTGAAGGAAAAGATAACAGAATATTTCGACAACTTCAAAGAGGAAGAATGAAAACTTACCGATTTCAATGAAAAACATTAACTTTTTGACGAAGTGAAGATTTGCACTTTGTCAAAATTTAATGAAAACTTACCGATTTCAATGAAAAACATTAACTTTTTGACGAAGTGAAGATTTGCACTTTGTCAAAATTTAATGAAAACTTACCGATTTCAATGAAAAACATTAACTTTTTGACGAAGTGAAGATTTGCACTTTGTCAAAATTTAATGAAAAACATTAACGTAAACATTAACGATAAAATTTATTTCCTGGACTGTTGTCAAAATGTCATGTTGTCATCATTTTTAAAAGAAGTTAATTAACCTGGTAGCACATGGTGACGTGGTGACACTTTCAGTTATTCAAAAATATATTTTTGCTTAAATAACTTCAGGGTCTATTTCTTCAACCATTTCACTTCCTTCGTCAATGTCAATAGAAGTTTCTTCAACCTTTGGTAAGAACTTTTGTATGACATCTTTGTTCGTTATTGTCTTCAGAGATGAAGGATAATATTTCACATTTGTTTCACCCTTCTTATATTCTTTCTGTTCGGAAAGATTCATAGCAATACTGAAGAAGTCAATGTTAGAGTTCTTTATGACAGTATAATGAGTATCTTTGACATTCACGAAGAAACCCTTTTGTTTCAAAACTACTGCTAACTCTTGTGAAGTATAACGTTTGCGGTCAATGACGATAGCTAATGGTCTGACATACTGACCGAACTTAGATTCTTTCACAAACTTCTTGTTAAAGATAACATTAACATTTGAAGCATTATTGAACTCATTCTTGATGGCAGTAGCGAGAGCATTGTATGAAAAGAACTTGCAATCTTGCATGTGTTTCATTAAAATAAAAAGTTCGAAATATTTTAAAACTAGCCTTAAAAAATCTAAGCTAATTTTTTTCAAAAAATATTTTTTATTTCCTATTAAAGATGTATCGGAAGTTGTCTAAGTTAGAACACTCGGAAATAAAACAACTTCTTACAGAAGCTAACATAGAAGTAGCAACACATTACGCAACAAACAAAAAAGCACTCGCTGACATCCTCAATGACTACAATGGTGAAATAACTTATGATAGAATTCATGAGTTCATAAAGCCACAACGCGGCGAGGACGAAGTCCATGCAAGAACTTTTCCTTTAAATGACGTTGCTATTGACTTATATCATAGACGTTCAGTACCTCATGAAGTAAGGCGTGAGATGTTTGACATAACAAATGCGAACGTTGGTGAAACACGAAAGAGAGATGACACACTGAAACAACAGAGAAGAGAGATGTTTAAAAATGCTATAGAACAAGTTCGCAAAGCTAACGATGTCATTCGTTCCATTGACGACAAACCAAAAGAAGGTGAGAGATGGTTAAAGAAAGATGAAGAGAATAGGAAGAGAATGTTGACAGGCAATAGACTCATTGACTTTAACATCGAAGCTTTAGATGAACCAAACAGAGACTACTTACACAAACATTTCGGTAAGGTTTTCATGAGACTCTTAGAGAAGATTAAAATAAACTCCCAACAAAGAGGATGGTATGTTATAAACTTGGTGGAAAGTATGAATGTTCTACGTTAAACCTCAATAATATTGGAACATTACTACATCAGCTCTTGAAGGAGAACTTTATATCAGAGATAGAAGCAAATGCTGCAGGTATTGTTGAAATGCACTATGACTTCTTCTTGACAAACATAAAGAATCTTACTGAAATAAAGATGTATGATTTAACAGAATATGAAGGCTTAACGATGTCAGATGTAAAGAAAGGCAAACCAAAAAAGAGACCATATAGAGATGAAAGCACACTGACAAATGACCAGAAAGCCATTTTGGAAGCTCTTAAGCAAACACGAAACCCAGCACTTATAGAAAGCTTTTGGAAAGATAATGGTGAAAAGAAGTTTTATAAGAAGAGAAGCGGTCAGTTCTGGAAGTATCTTTGCACATTACCTATAAATCTTGAACGCTACCAAATCTTCAATGAACTGAACAAAAGAACTGCAGCACTTATGACAGAAGACAATTGTTTCGTTTATGCTTGCATTCAGGCTGGAGTAAATGAAGAAACTATTGACCACATGAGAGAAGTCATTCGTGTTAGAGACTTTCCTCAAAGTAAAGTACAAGAAATTTCTGACGCAACAGGTATAGCATTTAATGTTACCATTGGTTATTTCAATGACTCAAGACATAATGAAATAAAGAGATATATACCAAAAGAATGTGAAACTGTTCGAACTATTGACTTACTTCTTGTTGAAGACCACTACATGCTAAACGAAAGATTACCAATGACAACATATTTCATTCGCAACTATATAGAAATCTTGAAGGAGTGTGGTGGAATGAACATTGAAAAACAGATGAAAATATATACAATGAGAGATGGTAAATACATTGTTCGCATGGATAGAACTACACCGCTATGGGATGTTATGAAAACATTGTGGGAGTGCAAATATTTCGAACCTATTTCTTATGGAGAACTTTTCACATATACGACTGACTTATATAAACAGAACCTTGCACCATTTAAAGATTTGACATATGCTCCAAAGTATTGTGTACAACTGAAGAAGAAAGCCGAGTCAAAAGAAGTAAATAAAAATAAGTGCAAGTTCATTCCTGAGCACGTTTTCTTTGCTGACTTTGAGTGTAGTACGGATGGCTTTCATAAAGCTTTTAACATCTGTTATGACAGTGAAGATGGTTCAGTGAGTGAAAGCATATGGGGTCAAAACTGTGCAACAGAATTTTTGGAGCGACTTCCTGACAAGAGTTTAATATATTTCCATAACCTCAGCTATGATATAAACTTCATCTTAAGACACATGACAGAAGTGAAAGGAACTCCCATCATTAAAGGTTCACGAACAATGCAAATAACTGGTTTATATAAAGGACGGGCAATTATTATAAAAGACTCTTACAGTGTTATAAATAAGAAGCTTAAACTATTTCCTGCTATGTTTAACTTACAAACAGGACCGAAAGAAGTATTTCCATATAACTACTACAGCAGTGTTTTGTTAGCAAATGACAACAGAACTGGTGTCATTTCTGAAGCGTGTAAGTTTGTAAAAGATATTGAAACGTTCATGAAAACATAGATTCCATCAAAGGTTGCAGAATAGATGAGAACCACTTCGACTTAGAAAAATATAGCACGTTTTACTGCAAACAAGATGTAAGAATTTTAAGAGAAGGTTTTGTAAAGTTCCGCAATGACTTATTGAAAGAGTTTGATTTAAACGTTTATGACTACGTTAGTATTTGTTCAATTGCTAACAAATTATTTGAGAACAGAGTATACTTCCCGAATGGAAATCTTTATGACCTCTCAAATAAACCAAGAGAATTTATTTCGAGATGCATTCAAGGTGGAAGATGTATGCTGTCAGATAACATTAAACAAAAGAGCGAAAAGAAACTCATTGCTGACTTCGATGCTGTTTCATTATATCCTCAGCTATCGCGAGACTTTATACTTTAGAAGGAATTCCCAAAGTATTGAAGGATGAGATGTTAAGCACAGAGTATCTCATGAGACATTTATTCAACGACGACCAAAAGGAACCCATTGGTGAAAAGTTTATGTCTGGCTTCTTTGTTCTCATTAAGATAACAGAGATTGGAATACATAGACACTTTCCTTTAATAGTTTGTGACCCTGAACTAAATCCAGAACTTAACGTTCCCAGAAGTTCAAACACTTGCTGTTTAATGTATGTTGACCATATAACATTACAAGACCTCATAAAATATCAAGGTGTCAAATGTGAAGTGTTGCAAGGATACTATTACGATGGAAACAGAGATATTAGAATAAGAGATGAAGTAAAGAAGTTGTTTGAGTTAAGGTTAAAGTATAAGAAAGAAGGAAATCCTTTGCAAGAAAATATAAAGCTCATTCTGAACAGTATTTATGGCAAAACTATTCTATCTCCTATTGAGTCAAAAATAACCATAGTAAATGACAAAGATGCTATAAGATATGCTATAAGAAATTACAACCATATAGTGAAGTTCGAAGGTTTGGATGGTTCAGATAAAACTATTTTCAAGCTAACGAAAAGCATTTGCAGACACTTTAACTTTTGCCCACTTGGTGTTAACATTCTATCTATGTCGAAGAGAATAATGTGTGAAGTATTCTGTACTGCTGAAGATATGGGACTTCAAATCTTCTACCAGGACTGTGATAGCATGCATATTTTCAATGAAGACATACCAAAGCTTGCAGCAGAGTTTAAGAAGAGATACGGTAGAGAACTTATTGGTAAAACATTAGGTCAGTTCCATTCTGACTTCGCAGAAATAACACCTGGAAAACAAAGTTTAGCATACAAGTCAATATTTTGTGGAAAGAAGACTTACATAGACTTACTCACGAACGATTTAAATGAAGTTGCATTCCATGCACGTTGTAAAGGTGTAAAACAAGACGTTCTTGCTTTAACAGCTAATGAAATGTTTCCTGAAGCTATACAATGCTATTACAATGAAGATAAGAACATTCACATACCTGTTGGAACATATGACAAAGACTCTGAGTTCAGTTTAATGAAACTTTACAAAGCACTTCATGATGGTCAAGAGATTGGATTTGACTTATGTAAGTCTTCTAGTCCTTGCTTTGAAGAGAAGTTTAACTTCTCAATAACGACTAAAACAAGCTTTATTCGTAAGTTGAAGTTCTGAGGTCATTTATTTTTGTCAGCAATGAGGTCATTCTGATAAAAATAATGAGGTCATATATTTTTGTCATTTATGTATAACCATTGTCTCTCTTAAACTTTGCAATAGACAGCTTTGTTCTTCTTCCTTCTACATCTGTAATGTTTATATAATCTTTGCTATACTGTCTTAAGACATTCATTCGTCTGTATTGAGTTCCCATGAAATAGTAAAAGACATCTTCACTTGGGACATAGTAGTAATTTTCTAGAGTAAATTTAGAGTATTGTATAATTTCAACAGCATCTTCAGGAAGAGTGTCTACAATGTCAAACCAATAGCCATTCGAACCAGAAATATTTCTCATGTTTTGTCTTCTCGACACCCACCTTAAGTTTGAGATATGAAAGTCTCCTCTGTCTCTGTTTATATGGTCTACTTCTCGAAGTCCTTCAGGATTCGGTATAAATTGATTTGCAACAATTTTATGCTTAAAGAGTTTATGTTTGTTTAAATAAACACAAATATAACCATCACCGTTGTCAAACTCACTTACAACTCTTTTGTTACTTATGCGCCTAATTGGATAAGGGTACTCTGAAAAGATTTCATAGTCATTGTCATGTTCGAGTGTTTGCCAATGTCCTTCACCTTCCATGCCTTTCACTCAAATAAAAATTTTCAGAAAAAATAAAACTAGCGTAGATTTTACAATACTGCGATGGTAGAGTTTAAGAGTTGTGCTTCAATGTAGAGACAGTCCTTATGGTCTGGAGGTAAGAACACTGGGCAGTTATGGTCATGAGTGGAGAACATGTCTATCCAAAACTCACGATTGAAGCCAGTTAATTTATAGTATTTAGGGTTAGGAAGTGGTGAAGTTCTTGTATGACCAATGAACTCATTTTCAACTCCCTTACTTAAGTTTGAATATAATGCTTGCTTTCTATCCCAAATGCCAGGTGTTACAATCTTTGAAAATTCATTTTTCCTCGGAAGCATTGCATCATAATTGAAAACATTCTTGAAGTCTTCATTGGGTTCAGAGATTTGAAACCTTATACGTAATGGATTTTCTTTCTCTTTAGCTACTTCATTGAATGGTGAATATATAACAAACTGACAGTCATGAGTTCCATCTTCATTTTCATTAAATTCATAATGAAAGTCTATAAGTTGTGGCTGACTACCTTCTTCTTTCAGTTGTGCAAGAAACTCACGTAAAGGCTGTAAAGTTTGTACTTCAATGTTGAACTTTTTCTCGAACATCTCATTAAATGAAATCATACATTGCAACAATGTTGTATCGTCTTTAAAGTATTTGTATATGTGAATGTTTTGGGCGTTTAAAGACTGTTCGTCATTTTCTATCTCGACTTGAAGTATAAAGTCAACCTTTCTGAAAGCACGTGTTATATACATAGATGTTATGCCAATGTACTTCTCTTCATTTATGTTCACAATCCAGTCTGTTGGAAACTTAAACGTTACTCTGTTCCCCTTTATTTTGACGTCAGAGTTTTCACTACTGAACGCAACAGATAAAGGTATTTGTCTATACATTTAATTCGGATAAAAATAAACCATTTACTCTTTCTTTGCTTCAGCTTCTTTAGCTTTTTGTTCTTCCTTTGCTTTTGCTTCTTCTCTAGCTTTCTTCGCCAGCAAACGTGGGTTCTTTTGTCTTCCAGCAGCTAATGCAGCAAGTTGTTTTTCACTAAGTTTTTTATTCAATATATTCTTCTGAAAAACTAATAAATATTTTTTTATTCCATTTTTTCAACAAGAACACATCTGTTTTAACGAAAATCGGTTCAATATCAAAATTAAATCATAACTGTGAAATAATAGCTAAAAGATAACATTCAAAAAGAAATCATTTTTCTAGAACTTAAGATGAATTCTTATTTAATCATTTATTAACAAATAAATTCCAAACTAACAATATACTAACCTTCCGAGGATTTGAATTTTTAAATTTTAATTTTGATAAATTATTTTTGGAAAAATCCGCAAAACAATATATTTTTATAATCAAACAAATTATTCATTTTCTTTCTCAAAGAAATAATGAACTGGATTAGATTCTTCAAATTCATTTGCAAATATGTCTTCAGATTCATCATTAATTGAAGTTGTAAATAATGGATTATCGTGAGTAATAGAGTCTGTAGCAACTTGTGGTGTTATTACTGTTTCCTCCATTTCAACTGCTGATTCTTCTTCTTCAGATTCATTTGCATTCTTCCTATGAATCAAAATAGCTGCAATGATTGCTGCTGCAATAATTGCAATAAGAACGCAACAGCAAATGACAATAATTGGAAGCATGTTCTTGCTCTTGTGATTCTTGAGAGAAGATGAATCCTGCATTATTGATGAATGAGAATTGTAAAGAATTGAGTGATTTTCTTCATTTGTGGTAGTAGTTGGAACTGGAGTAACTGGAGAGTTAACTGGAGTTGTAAATGGTGTTTCAACAGCTGTCTCTGCATTTGTTTCGGCTGCAGTTTGCTGTTGTGTTGGAATGAATGTTTCATGAGGTGTTTCTTGTTGAGTTTCAAATGGTGTTGGCTGGAATGTAACAAATGGAGTTTCTTTTTGAGTGTTGAATGGTGTCTCTTTCTGGGTTTCAACAAGAGTTTCCTGAACTGTATTTACATGTGTGTTGAATGGAGTAGTGAATGGTGTCTGATAAACAGTTTCATCAACAGTTTCATAAGGTGTCTGATAGAAAGTTGAGCCGGGCGTATTTTGTGGTGTTTGATCAGGTGTCTCTTTCTTTGTTGGAACAATTGTTTGGAAAGGTGAATTATATGGTGTATCTACAGTTGTTTCAAATGGTGTTTCAAAAGATGTTTGATATGGAGTATCAAATGCAGTAGAATAAGGTGTTTCATGAGCAGTCTGTGCGTTTGTTTCAAATGGAGAAATGAAAGGAGTCTCAGCAAAAGTTTCAAACTTTGTGACATATGGAGTACTGAACGGAGTTTCTTCCATTGTATTGAAAGCTGTTTCAAATGGAGTTTCATATTCAGTTTCAAAAGGTGTACTAGAAACAGTTTGATAAACAGTTTCATATGGAGTTTCTTCAGCTGTTTGATAAACTGTTTCAAATGGGGTTTCGAAAACAGTTTCTTCGGCTGTTTGGAAGAGGGTTTCTTGAACTGTTAATTCAGGAGTTTGATATGCGCTTTCAAATGGTGTTTCAACAGCTGTCTGGAAAAGTGATTGGAATGGAGTTTCAAATGCTGTTGAAGACTCTGTTCTAAAGGCGGTGGATGCTGGCGTTTCAATGACAGTTGAAAATGGTGTGACATGAGCTGTTGAGAATGGTGTTTCAATAGCAGTTGTAAATGGCGTTACATGAGCTGTGGATGCCGGTGTTTGGAGAGCTGTTGTAAATGGTGTAATGTGAGCTGTGGATGCTGGAGTCTGGAGAGCGGTTGTAAATGGAGTTGTAAGTGGTGTTGAAAGAGGTGTATATTGAGGTGTTCTAAGCGGGATATAGATTGTTATAGTGACAGATGCATCATTTGATGGATTGCCTGATTTATCTTTGCCAAAGACGGTGATTTTATAGTCCTTGAGTTCTGTAACTTTAGGAATTGTGTAAGAGAAGTTGAATATCTGCCATCTTCCATTTGTTGCTAATTCACCAAGATATTTTAATTCTCCACTTCCGAACTGAGCACTGAATGAGATTGCATCGTTTGAATCAGTGTCCTTGAAAAGGCCAGTTATATAAATCTTTTCTCCTGGCTGTGCAATGGCATTTGATACTCTTACACTCTTGATGGATGGAGCAGTAGATATTATGAGTTCGAAAGTTACACTAGCCTCTTGAGATCTTACACTATAAGTGTTTTCGGCGAAGACATAGAGTGTATGGGTTCCAGCTTGAAGTGATGAGTCAATTGGAATATAAGCATTATATTTCATTTCATATCCTTGGCAAGAATATAATGTGTCATCATAGTTTGTGAATGAATCATCGAATCTGTAACCAATTTTGACTGATGTCATATCTTTAACATTGCCTTCAATGTAGATCAGGGAGTTACTCTTATACGTCTGATCAATCTGATTTGTGATAGATAATGTTGGCTTTGAAGTTACAACGAAAGTCTTCTCAAGGATATTAGACTTCCATTTGTTGCTATCAATTGCATAAATCTTTATATTATATGTTGGATTTGAGTCAAGATAAATGTCCATAGAATATGATTTGACTGTTGGAGAATTTTTGACATAAAATTTTTTCAGCAATTCTGGTGTTGTATCATGTTGATAATAAATAAAAATGTATTCTCCTTCATCATAATCTCCAATGCTAAATGTCACTGTAACCTTTTCATAGGGATCATAGTTATCTTTGAAATCGCATGTCCATTTGGCAAAAGGTGGGCTCTTTAAGTTGGATCCTGTACCTGCAGTTGTTCCATAACTTAAAGTTTTTCCTGGATAGATATCTCTTTTCTGCCAAGAAAATGCGAATACACTATCTTCGTTTTCTAGGTTTGTTGGAGTAGTGGTTATGTTTTTAAAGTATGGGAACCTCTTAGGGTAGTAGTTTACAACTTGATTGTTGTAGTAATCATCATAAATCTCTGCCCACCTTCTGTTAAATTTACCGTAATAAAATGCATCAACATTTGTTGTTCCAGATGCATCTTTGACCAATAACGTGAAAGTGATGCCAGTATCAGGATCAGTCATTGTGAAACCTCTTCTATTTTCTAATGGGATGACTGTTGCATAATCGTTTCCTGCGACTTGAATATCAGCGAATACACCAACATCTATTCTCTTCGGTTCGTCTCCATTGTTGGTGATGTTAAAACATAAACTCAGATAGCCTGTTACAGGGTCAACACTAGTTATGGTTTCAAAGTGTATATCATCATAATCTGCTACGCCATTATTAGATCCTTTAACAAAATGCAAACTTCTTGGCTTTCTGTTTATGTACTCTCTGAAAACAACGAACCAACCTCTATTATGATAAGTTGTTGAGTAAGTTACATCTTCGTAATAAGTTCGATGCCAATAACTTTTCTTTTCTTTTCTAACGTATGTAATATCGAAATCAGCATAATCTGAATCAACAAAGTTGACTTGTATACCTTCTTTTGCACAACAAGTCAAGTACGTCAATAGAGCAACAATCATTTATAAAAAATATTTGAATAGAAATTCAACAAATTTTATTCAAAATAAAATTGTGAGAAATTGTCAGATGATTTTGCAATCAATTTTTATAGTTTTATAATCAACTAAATAATCTATATAATTTATTAAAATCGATTACAAAATGATAAGTTATTTGAGAGCAAAAATGGCCTGGTTTTCAGTAGAAATCGTAAATGAATTCAAATCGGACAATGTATACATAAAAATATTTTGTTTTTTACGCAAACTGCAAAAGGATCATGTTATACCCAAATATATTTAAGTGGTCAAAAGGACTTTGTTTGTAAATTGAATTTTATAAATTTTAACGAAAAATCATTTAACATAATTAGAACATGATGTATGATATTAGTCCGATAAAAAAAATCATCATGATTTTACGAATAAATTGATTTTGTTAGTGATTTATTAAATATTAAGATATATTGTTGTAAACAGAAATTCATCAAAAGTGACACCTCAGAAAAGCTAAAATATTGAATTTTTGGAACTTTTGATAGAGCACGTTTTTAAATATTAATTAAAGTAAATGTATATTTTGTAAAGATACTTTTTAATAAAAAAATAGAATTTTGAAGAAGAACACAAAATCTTCTGAAAAATAATATCACATAAACTCATATTATTTTCTAATATATAACTATTTTATATAAAAATCAAATTCAATGATCTTAAAAGCGAAGGATAAACCTCAAAATTTACGAATATAATGAGTGGGAATATAATGCTTATCTATCATAAAACCATATGAAATATCAATTTTTGCTTTACGCCTAATTTTTGACGACAATTAGCAAAAAATGTTAAATGTTAACACTCAGTCCATTTGAATATGAAAAATAAAATTGACTTTGATTAAATGTTTTTATTTATCATGCAATTCTTCTTGCGACCAAAGATTTGAATAAAACTTCAAAAAATAAGATAGCTTAAAAAATAATATACGGTAGTGTTTACTAATAGATGAATAGTATATAAATTCTATTAAAATGGATTTGATCCAAAAAAATATAAAACCAAATATTTGTTTCCTCAGTTGCCCGACGATTATTTTAACTATGATTTCCTTAGTTTCCCGAAATGACGATAGTTGTAAACTTCACTCAGTTTCCTCAGTTGCCCGACGATTATTTTAACTATGATTTCCTTAGTTTCCCGAAATGACGATAGTTGTAAACTTCACTCAGTTTCCTCAGTTGCCCGACGATTATTTTAACTATGATTTCCTTAGTTTCCCGAAATGACGATAGTTGTAAACTTCACTCAGTTTCCTCAGTTGCCCGACGATTATTTTAACTATGATTTCCTTAGTTTCCCGAAATGACGATAGTTATCAATACATTTTTATTTTCTTAATTTTTTTCTTAATCCTATTGCTCCTCTATTATTTCAATATATATAATCTACTTTCCTAAATCATAAAATTTTGATATTAATTAACTTATTGGATTTCATAAATTCTTATTCTTGTTAAATTATGCAATAAATTAAACAGATTTCTATGAAATTCTTTATGGCATTCCAAACGGGAACCGCGGTTGGTTACCATGGATTTCCGTCACCGGTCACATTTTAAAGATTTTTAAAGCCTTATAAAAATATGCTTTGTAAATCATTTTTTGTAAATCGGCAAAAATTTGGTAATTTTCTTCAACTAATAAATCTGCGAATAGCATTTATAATACAAGAACAATCTTTTAAAATGCGTTTGATTCATTTTTGTATAATTTCATATAGGCACATATATTCTTCCGGGACTTTCCGTGATTTTACCGTAAAATCATTAGTTTACACCAATTTTTCCGTATTTTGAATAGTTTACTGCACTTTTTCCGTAAAATTGAGTTACGGGAATCCGCAAAATTTCCGGACCTCATTTTTCATAGAATATAATAATAATATTTGATAAAAAGATATATTATTATATATTTTGATTTTTGAATTACGGAAAAAGTGAATTGTTAACTTGATTTTTTTATATGGTTAATTTTTCAAATGATATTATGAAGATCTAAAATATTAAAAGTAAAAAATTGAATTACGGAAAAAGTGAGGTCAAAAGTGAAATAAATTTGCAGAACAATTTTCATTGAAATAAGACATTGAGTATCACACTTTAGTGAATCAACATCTATAAGAATGAAGTGTTTTGAAGCTGAAATAATATTGAATAGAAATTAATTTTTTCTGAAATTTTGAATGAAATTATGGGAAATAAAAAAATTACTAAATATTGTATTCATACAAATATATTATTTTAAAGGAAAAATAGATGCTGATAGAAACGATGAAAAATTTTGAAAACTTTACAATTAATTTATGTTCGTTAACCACAGAGCTTGCAATCCAAAGCTCACGTTAGACTACAAGAGTCATGAAGTCTCATACTAAGGGATATCCAACATATATTTTAATAATCTAATGTTTGTGACAAATATTCAACATAAAATTAAGTTTTCGTTTCGTTACAAGGCATTCATACTTTGGAGATATCATATTTAATGTACAGAAAAGTTAATATTAAACAATACATGCTAAAGAATTAATAAATAAGATAATAAAATAAATTTATACGTAATTACTTTCATTTAATATGCTTTATGCTGTATAATATTGATTAAGAGGCATTAAAAGGTTCCATAGTCTGCTTTATAGGCAAGATTTTTGATAAAAATTTAAAATTTTGAAAAATGATGAGAAAAGGAAAAAAAAGGTAAATGAGAGCAAGAGGAGGGAAAAAAAGAAAAAGAAAAGAAAGGGAAGGGAAAAATAAAAGAAAGAAGGACATATAAAAATTTAGATGCGCATTCTTAATGCCGAGGCGGCTTGCCGCCGAGGCGCGATTTTTTTAGGCCTCTACGGTAACCCGGCAATGTTTTTTTAAATCTTGTACAGCCCTAAAATTCTTTTAATAAATATAAGTGTTTATAAATATTGATTTGAAACGTCGATATATACTCTTGACAATTCTAGTTTGTTAGCAAAAATTTTAAAATCCATTAATTTTTTATACTTTTTCTTTACAGAGAAATTTTTTCTTTTGAAAAATCACTATCAATTTTAGATATTATGTATTTAAATAAAGATATCTAATTAAGTGATTGGTGATAATTCAAATTATAATAGTATAAAAGAATAACTTAGTCAAAAATTGTATAATTGAAATATTTAATAGAAATTGATAAATATAGAAGATAATGTATGAAGAATATTAAGATAATAAAGTAAATGAAAAAAGTCAGATGAAATAAAGTTTAAAATAATCGTCGGGCAACTGTGGAAACTGAGTGAAGTTTACAACTATCGTCATTTCGGGAAACTGAGGAAATCATAGTTAAAATAATCGTCGGGCAACTGAGGAAACTGAGTGAAGTTTACAACTATCGTCATTTCGGGAAACTAAGGAAATCATAGTTAAAATAATCGTCGGGCAACTGAGGAAACTGAGTGAAGTTTACAACTATCGTCATTTCGGGAAACTGAGGAAATCATAGTTAAAATAATCGTCGGGCAACTGAGGAAACTGAACAATGTTTACAATAATCGTCGGGCAACTGAGGAAACTATCGCTCTTTTTCCTAAAATTTTCGGGAAACTGAGGGCAACTGAAAATAACACATTCAATACATCAAAATATACATTCAACCCTTTTCTATATGTTTTATATTATCTTTTTGTATTATTATATTTTCAAATTCATTCAAAAGCACAATATTTTTTCCAAATAATAAGATTCTTTTTCAAAAATTTCAATTTAGTTAAAAATTGTACACTATTCTTGTAAAGGGTACAGTATACATGGATATATTACAAATCTAGCTTCCAAATCCAAAATATTATCGTTAAATTATTTAAAACTAGATAAAAATTGCGTGATTTAACTATAAATGGATAATAATATCTGATAACAATAATAATTGATATCAAATGTTCAACTACTTTTAGTTAATAACTAACAGATATTGAGATATTGAGATTGATTGATCAAAAATAATCGTCGCTCAGTTGCCCAAAAGGGCTCTCAATTTTTGCAAAAGTGACACAATTTTTTCATCAAAACTCTGCGAATATTTATTATAATTTAAATTTTATTTAAACAATAATCTAAAATATAGTAATAGATAATATTTGTTTAAACATATTAATAAAAAATCTAATATTCACAGAGAAAAAGTGCTCAGTTTCCCTCAGTTCCCCAAAAAAAGGTGGCCCGAAGTTTGGATAAATTTTGAAACAAAATTACTCCGAATCGGAACTATTATAATTTTACGTAGCATCATCATTGGTCTCTCTATTGTATCAATTATTTCCTGCTAAAGATAAAACAAATCTGAATTTTTGCCAATGTAAGGGGAAAATTACAGATTCATCGAATATGAAAATAATGCAATCCAAGAACAATTGATGTAAAATCGATTGCCTTAGTATTTGAACGCTTACATTCGAGTTTTTTTTTTTAAGTTGATAAAATTTTTTGAAAAATTGATCCATGGAATGCTCATCTTGAAACTAGTGTCTGAAGATTCTAAGAAAATGAATCAGGAATACCTTACAATGATACTTAATTTCATGAGATTTTTGTTTTTTAATATTTTTGAATACATTCAAGATGATGATTAGTATTTTGGTTGGAACTTAATAGTTCAACCTATGATTTCATCGCTAACGCTTGAATTTTGATGTATTTAACACTTTCTTGGGTAATGAGAATTTTATAAAAGTGTCATATTGTCACACTTGTTCCAGCTAGTGAATGGTTCTATTTAATAAATAGAGGTATGAATTTAATGCTAAAATACAATAATTTTCATTTTGGAATTTTGATCAAAAGATTCCTCATAAAGAGTTATCAATTCTCAATAAAAATTCAATATGCCATAGGGTATCAATAGTAAATACATATATTGAACTTATATCGTGTACTTCTAATTACTAAAGTTAGTTTTGAAACACAATTATTTTCAGGAAAGATCATTGTTCATTCAATTATTAATATATTTTCATCTACTTATATAATCCATTCGGTTTGCACCGATTTTTGCATGAATATACCAGAATTTGATAAATCTCATAAAAATATAGGAAAATAATCAAAGCACCAATATTTTTATGTGATATTTTTGTATACTAGGAATATTGTTGAAGAATAGAATGCATAAAAAAATCTTGAGTTTTTTTTGAAGATTCCAAATCGAACATATATTAAAATGAGAAGTAAGAATGAAAACGACTTTTAATTTTCATAATACAAGTATTCTTGAAATTTATAACGATGGACAAAGCGCCATTCTTGCACATAATTCCTGATTATCGAACTTGGCTCTAAGCAAATTAAAGAAATTCCTGATTGCTACAGGAGCATAATTCTTTTTCTTGAGGACTTCACACATATGTTCAAACGTGTCTGAACTGCCCACAAGATCGCAAAGCGCTTGGAACATTTTCTGGACGAGTGGAACCATACTATCTTCAATTCCTTCATTGAGGTACCATTCAAAGAAATCGGTGCAGAATTTACAGTTATCCTCTGCGTCATGAAATGAAATTTCGCTTGCTGATTTTCTTGGTTTCATAGAAAGAGAAGAAGCCGTTGGACGACATAGTTTTATGGATGAACAATAGTCGCGTGGACTGATGTGTTGAAGTATTTTCTTATGAACAGTGTTTGAAAGAGAATTACATTTTTGATTTCCTTTGCAAAACGGAAATTCGCGATCTTTGATGTTGAAATTGCCTTTGTGGATGATCTTCTTGAATGCACGCTCACATTCTTCACATTTGTTTTGTTCGCTACTTATAAGTATGAAAAGGTTGAAAAACATTTTTTTTTCTGATTTGACTATTCAATTTTTTTTCATGATAAATATGTTTTATATTAACTATATGATATATTCTCTTCAACGTAATTTCTTTAATTTTCAATACTCAATGCGGTTTAAATAAATTTTGAAAGACAAAAAATCGAATTATTATTAGTACCTCAACAACAAAAACAAACATTGAACTCTCAAATAAAATGATTATTTCCAAGTAATTTGAAAAGAAATCTGATTTTCCCTCAAAATTTCTGAAAATTTGAAGAAATTCAGATTCAGTTGTTAATTAACACATAAAAAATTACTAATATTAAAAAAAAAAAAAGGTATTGGGGCTTCCAGGCGCGTTGCGCCCTCTAGCCCCGAAGATGTTTAGTATAAAACCGCTTTTTAACTTCACTTAAAATGCCACGTAAGCTACGTAAGAATATACGTAAGAGGAAGAGAGCATTGAAACATCCAATAGTAAAACTGACACCACAACAACAGTTGCAACAACAAATGCTGAATGACCCCACTATGTTGCAACAAATGTCAAGCAATCCTATGCTTTTAAACCGAGTTGTTGGTGCACAGAGTGGAGGTTTAAGAGCGGCACTTTTAGCGAAAATGGCAGGCTATGGTGGAGCTGCAGACGGAACAGCCTATAACCCTCAAAGTCAAATGAATTTGAGTTCACTCAAAAATCAAATAACAGATGTCAAAAAGTCAAACATAGACATACAGAAGCAAATAAGTGAAAACGAAAAGAAACTAGAATATGACAGACACACAAAGAAACTCAATGAGTTAAACGTAGAGAAAAAGAAGAAAGAAGAACAACTGAAAGAACTAAGTACAGAGGAATATGCGAAAAAAGTGTCAGAAAAAGCAGCAGAAGTAGCAAAAATGGAACAAGATGTCATAAATTTGAAAAACCATACTACTCAATATAAAATACTGAAAGATGAAGAGATAAAACAAAAAGCCCTGAAGACATATATGGATAGCGATGAGTATAAAAAAGAAGTTGAAGCAAATGTAAAGGCAGAAAAACTTTTACAGTTGCAAAACCAAACCGTACAGTATGAAAACTTAGCACAAGAAAGTAAAAATAACGACGCAGCCATGCAAAAGGCAATTGAAAAAGCGCAGAATATATAAAAGCTAACAATGACTGGTTAGATGCCCAAGCCAACGCTAAAGCAGCCCAACTCATAGGGTCAATAAGGACAAAAATATAAGCGGATGAAGACAGTTCAAATGAAGCTTTAACAAATGCTGACTTTAAGAACGCCTTCGAAGCTCTTCATAGTAAGGTGAAACAAGTGAACGACTTCTCATCTGGAAAGAAACTGAAGTCTGAAGGTTTCGACAAAGAGTTAAAAGAAGTAGCACAAAATATGACGAAAATAACAGATGCAGCAACGAGACAGGCAGTTCAAAGTGCCTATGACGCCGTTAGAGCAACTGTTGTGAAAAGTCAAGAAAAAGAGTTACAACAGACCAAAACAGACCTAGTAAATGCTTTCTTAAAAACGAAAAGTCAGGTAGGACATTACGCTGCAGATGGAACATATGTGCCAGCTGGTGGAACTTATATACCACCAAACCCTCAAGAGAAGCACCTGCACCAGGACTACCTAAAACATTTACATCGTCACATGGACACAGACACAGGCATGCACAACAACCAACAGTTCAAAACCCTGCACAACAACCACCTCCACAACCAGCACAGCAACCAACAGTTCAGAACCCAGCACAACAACCAACAGTTCAAAACCCTGCACAACAACCACCTCCACAAACAGAGCAAGGACATAAAAGAAGTAGAGAACAAGGAAACCAAGAATTCTTAAAAATGCTTAAAGAAGAGTGTGGTTTCCCAGATACTGTTGACTTTAGTGACAGATATAAAGAAGCTATTGGAAAGTTCAAGGATGGAAATACTGACCCGAACCTATTTAGCTTTATGGCTCAGCACCAAAAACGGATATAATCTTCAAACCTGGAAATACAAGCTCGCTAAGGATATGATTTAATAGCATATCATCAAATGACATGGATGAATTTACTCCGAGATATTTGATGTCAGAGCTAAATGACAATTCAACTTTCGTCATGAAACGCGTAAAAAAATAGAGACGGAACGAAAGAACAAAAGCTTATGAATGCGGATGACGTAGATAGGGAAATTGTTGAAAACGGTCTCGGAATATATGAAAGCCAGCAGATGAGGTACAAGAAACTCCACAGGAAGAACTAGTTCAGATACAACCAGACATGGAAGAAATAGTTCAGCAACAACAGCTAGAAGAGCCTGAAGGAACGAACAAGTCACTCCTTTGGAAACTAACTTCACAGAACTAGATGAAGATTTGGAACAGCCGAAAAATCTTGACCCTCAACAAGAGCATGAGGTGAATATGGAATCTTTCCAAGAGTCTAAGAAAGATTCGGCTGACATAGTAGAAGAATATCGAAAAATGTTTGCCGACATACAAAAGACTCCAACACCAGATGAAAATATTCAGCATAGAATGGAAGTACTGAAAAAAATGTACACAAATACAACAACCCTTTTTACTTACGAGCATTTAACGTTCAATCTTCGGATGAACTCGGTGAAGATAAAAGGTTAAATTTCAAGAAAACATATAGAAATGAAACATTGTTTAAAGTTCATTCAGAACCTAACCAAGATGGAAACAAACCTACTTTTGTTTCTGCAGACGATGGAACTACAATGAGATGGGGTCATAAAGCTAACCCGGATAGGTGGTTCATAAACTTACAACTCAATTCCAAGAAGTTGTAGACGCAATGGAAGTCAATGGTGAACCAGATATAGCTGGTATTTTAAGCGCGGCTTTAATGCCATTGAAAGATATGAAACATGCAGATATTTTGGACCAGTATGAAATGAACATGGCTGATGGAAATATAACACCTGACGTTCTAGAACATTTATCTCAAAGAACTACACAAACCATAGAGATGTATATTTGGTGAAGAGTTTAGAAAGAGAGTTAGGGCGAGAGAAGGAAGAGAACCTATTGTACATGACCTTGCAAACGAAAGTTTACAAAATGTCATAAAAACTTACTTTGCAGACAATGAACCGAGAAGGGATGAATATTTAAGAAAACTCAAATGGACAGTACCAAATGAAATGTTAGTATTGAAAAACATGTTCCTTGACAAAATAAAAACCAACTACAGAAATAAACGACGCAAGACTGAAAGATTGGGTAGAAGCTTTCCCATTCACAAAAGATATAATTGGTAACATGGAAAGAAAACCAGAATGGCTACAAAAACATATATTTGGAAACGAGCATATTCCATATGGACAGGCACTGTTTGAAGAGCTTGAACCGGAAACTCAGGAAAGAGTCATGCAAACAATACGCGAAGACTCAAATACAGACTATGACAAACTCTTTCTAGGATATAGGTTACCTGAGATGGGCGACCAGAGTCCAAAGGCAAAAAGGGCATGGAAAATTTGCAACATACTAGATGAACATAATGCAAAGATGCAACAACTTGAAGCAGAGGGCAAGTTACCAAAGCGACACCAAAGAAGAAGAGTAGAACAAAGTGAAAGTAGTGAAGAAGTAACTTCATCTAGTGAAAGTAGTGGCAATGAAGGAAAAAGAAGAGTTAAAAACTCAGTCAGGAGAAAGTAAAGCTTGGTCCACGTGGGTTCTATTATGACATATAAATCCAACTATTCTATATTTTTACCCATATGAAATGTACGCCGCTCAGAATATAACGCCAACAGTTTTGGATGCCATGAATGGAAATGTTTCGAATGGTATAACGAATGCGACAATGCCATTAGAAGGTCAGAAATAGTTCCTGGAACTTACGAATATAAACTGCTGTTTCTTATGGAAACGTAGGTGAGTTTGGAGAAGGTTCTTCAACAACAGTAGATATTGCTTGCGACAGGTTTCATATAATTTCTATGACAACTCATTCTTATACGTGGAACAAGACATTGAAATAAAACCTTCTGCTGACTTGAGAGGTAAGAAAGGTTGCAATGGAATTTTTTGTCGGATACCAATATGCTCCAGAAGTTTTCAATGGATATAAGATATATTCTAACTCTGACTTAGTTCAACAGTAACATGGGCAAACTATGAATGGTTCGCTTTAAGAAACTCAGTACAACCACAAGCTAGAGAACAAACAGACCAGTACGCAACCATTGAGAAATAAGAAGACTTGACCCTAAACGTTCCAGAGTTTATGTTAACCTTTCTGGTTCAGATGGAAATGCTGTCACTAAAGTAAAACTGAAACTTAGAGTTCCTTTGTCATCTTTCCTCATCTTCAGGTTTTTAAGATACTTGCCAAACTGGCAGGAAAAATTTCTATTGAACTTACTCCAAGCAAATAACTTAGTCATTGCACCAACGCAAGACCCATTCACTCTTACAGACGTAAAGGGAGCAAATCAAACGTCATTCGCCGAATTTTGCAAAGACAAAGTTGACCTAAACTTTGGTTTCTCAAACCTCAACACTGAAGTAAAGTATTATTTCAATGCTGCTGGAACTGCTTGGGACCCAGTTAAGTTCACATGCAAACAGTTTGAATGCAAGAGAATAGAAAGCAGACTTGCAGTCTATATGTTGGACCAGATATTTCAAATGCTTTAGCTGCCAAATATATTGCAGTTCCACTTATGTTCCCTATACACCAAATATCTGTCAAAGACTTTGCAGGTGAAGTTGGAAACCAAAATCCAGGAACCGCAGGTGCAAGAACAGATATTGCTTTAACAACTGCAATGAAACATGCAGATACTATGTTTGTACTGTTCAACGAACTATAAATGACTATTCTTGTTTCTACAACCCCGGTATTAAATATCATATAAACATAGATGGCAAATATTATCCAAGAGAAGAATATTCTACAGTTGAGGATATGAGGTCATACAACTTGACATTAGATGCTATGAACTTTAACAACAACTTCACAACAACCATTAACCCTGAAATGCAAAGTTCTATTATGCCATATGTGAAAGTATGGACTCATACAGGAGGTCAAAAAACTCAATATACAAATGGAGACCGTTCAAACTTTTGGCTTGGCATTCCATTTTGCTGACTCAGAAGACTTTATGGGTGGTATTTCAACTGTTGGTACTGTACAAATACAATATACTGGTGACAGAGACGGTCCATATGAACTGAGAGCAATGAAGTTTACAAAACCAATAGCACTTTTCACGGAAGATGCTCTTTTGAAGATTCGTTCGATGAAACCTGCTGGGGCTCCTCAGATTGGCATAACGACAGCTTCCATCGAGCAGATTTTGGCAGCAGGTCAGTAAGTTGTTCTTGAACTGACTTCTCTCCGTCAAATATTGACAGTACGCCAGTTTTGATATAATATTGTATTATAAACTTACCTTTAGAAATATCGGTCAGTTTTGTTGTTATATTTTTGTCTGCTTCAAGAACTTTCACCATCTCGGTTATACCAACTTTCTTTGCTTTATGAAAATATTTTGGTTCAGCAAAGACTGCTATTCTATAACATTTTCCATTGTTTGTGTAAAGAACTACTCTGTCAATGAACTTGTATTGTTTGTGTGTGTAAACTTTGTTTTGCTTCAATTCGAAGAGATACTCAAATACGTCCATCTTTTTATCTAAGTAAAATGTCATTTCCGAAAAATAGAAGCGTAAGTGTTTCAAAAGGTTTAATGGCGATGGCAGATGTGAAGTTAAATTCACCAACTCAAACAAACAGTCAAAGTGTTGTTGTCAATGTCAAAGACAGAGATGTTGAAGTGGGGAAACCATACGAAGACGAAGATGGTATAACAATAGTTCCTGTAAAAGAACAACCAACATACCCTGAAGTTAGCAGAGACTTAAGTTCTGTTGCAGATATTCGAAACGACTACCAACAACTTAAAGACAAACTTAAAACTCAGGAGAAGATTTGTCAGGCTTTGGGTATAATGTTAAACTTGGTTGAGCAACCCTGTAAAAGTGAACTCATATGTCATCGCACCTCATGAAATTTTGAAAGAACTATTGAAACTTTTGACAGAGGCAGACGATATAAACATCAAAGAATAGAACCCGACATTGTTGCTGTGGTGTTTCATACAATGTCATTGACAA